ATATAAATGTAAAATATGTAGATCAATTATTAATTTGTACAGGCGAAAGAAGATTTATACGGTTCGCTTTAAATTGGACAATCTATTAAAAGATGACGAGGCATCGACCCATGATCGCTTCAATTATTTGCATCTGCATGATCAATAAATCTAATACCGTACTCTATTGTTCTCTAGCGTTGACCGATATTTTTGCTTTTTCTATACAGCTGTTATTATGCTAGTCCCGGTCGAATAAATGGAGAATTGTGTTTCGATACAGAAATTAACAAGAAAATTGTATAATAATGATAATAATCGTAACAAGTTTATCAGCTTATTACACCGATCAAACATTGCCGATTAGATTTACATTATCTATGCTCTCTACTAACCGATAATTTTCGTGAATTTTCAATCGAATTCCACTTCTGTATTAATAAAAAAATTCTGTGTAATTACGCGAATTTTACTCATTGAGAAATTTTCTTTCTGAATTTTATTAATTTACGTCTCCAACAGTGGAGTAGTAAGTAATTTCTCAAATTTAATCTGCATCTTTTATTACGATCAATTTTTAGCCTTTCTTCAAAGAGAAAGTAAGGATTAGAAGAATCATTGCAAAAGAGTGAAAATCCTTGAATGACTTAAAATGACATTTAAAAACTGCCTAATCTATAAGATAATAAATTTATAAAATTTTTAATCTTCGATTATAAGAGAATTTCTCTCCAGATATTTTTAACTATGTAAAAATTCTCTTAATTTCTGCCGGCCGTTTAATTTATAAAACCGATCATTCATTAACGTGAGAATATACACGTGCACGTCCCTAACCTTTGAATATGTCGGTCAATTTCTCGCGGATCGGTTCGACGGTCTTTAATAAAATGATTTATACCATTATTCAATTCCGTTCGTTAAATGTCAGCCGCAGCGTGGTTGAACTCTGAACCATCCTCCAATCATCTCCCCAAGATGACAACCGTTTCACCGTGTGGCCCTTCGAAAGAATCCTTTCGTTTCTTCATCGCGTGTGACTCGATGGATCGATCCGACTGTTATCATTCTCGATGGCTGTGGCGCGCACACCCGTGCCCATACCCTGTCCAACTTTCATTTAAAACCACTTAATCAAACCGATACTGTTAATCTTCTTTGTTCCTTTCTCCCCTTCATTTTGACAAATTGATTCGACCATCGATCCATCCACAGTGATTCCGATTGCCTGGAAAATTGATGAGAAGAAAATTTTAATCCTCCAGCTGTACTTTGCTCTTTATTTTAGCAGTAATATTCTTATATTTTATTTTTGAACTGTAAGTTGTGAGAATTGGTCGCATTCGTGCAATTTGTAGTCAAACGTTATTTAATTTTCGTTGTATCACTATAGTAACTCTGAGATAACGTTAAATAATGTACGTGTAAAAATTTTCAATGCTCACGAATAACTTTGATCCTGACATGTATATATTATGCAAATTTTTATCATTTCATTTAAGACCGATATTTGAATTATTATTAATTACTCTTTTTAATATGCACGATCATCTTTGAATTGAAAATTAATAACCAATTCGTTTGTCACGAAGAATATGCGACGTCGGAGTAATGCAGTGTAACAAAAACGTATAAAGGATAAATATAAGGCTGGCTCGCTTCTCTTCGCTCATTTCATCATTCGAAACACTTTCCAAAACAAAATCATTCGTCGCGATAAATTTCTGGAACGATACAAAAATACTGGCGATGACGCGTTATTCAACGAGCCATTCAAAATGAAACTAGATGGAATTATCGATTAATAACCAGACGAAGGATTAATAGTCGGTGACAAGCAACCGGTTCCTGGAACCGTGCCATTTCACCCTGGAGTCGTAAGGGGTCACCAGGACGCCGTAAAATCCAGGTAGCACCAGCCATCACGATCGTTTCTCGGTGCATCTATTCGGTTGATGGACTCTTCGACCCCTTGGCGGGCCACGAGCAGGGATTAAAAGTTTATGGCCCCGTTTTAAGATCGCCTTCTCGCGAGGGAACAGTAAATCTTGCCCCGAGAAGCGTTCAGGAGTGGATTCGGTAGTCCACGTTGAACGATCCCCTGCAATCGTAAACACACGTGAAGACGTAGATACGGTTGAGCGGTCGTCGAGTAAAGATCCAAGTTTAAATTCTGGATTCATTCTGGTTTGATTATATTTATTTTGATCGTTTTTTTGCTTGTTGAAGAGAGAGGATTTTGTTTTTAGCAAGATTATTTTTGATAGATTTTGATAGATTTGATAGTGCATCTAGTGCATTCTCTTCGTTTCTAAGTATAATTTTAATAGATATGATGAGATTTACTTATTCGATTGCGTTAAACTAATATCTTTAGGTTAATAATAGATCTGTTTATTCGCTTCAAACATTTTTAATGTTTTGAACTTTTAAAAATATCACAAAAGTTAGAGTTTATTGACATTCCTACTTTATTATCCAATAGATTTTTAAAATAATTGTTAAAAAGTTTTTTATTAGCAGTTAAGATGAAACTAAAATTTCATCTATCACGTATGTGATTGAAACTTTCTTTTTTAATTCATGGAAAGAAGTAAAACTGAAATATAAAATATAACGAGTTTGATATCTTTCATTCAATGGCTTCATTACCAAAGTACTACTTACTTTAGAATCAAACAATGAAACAGAAATATCTGAGTAACTTTAAAGTATTGTAAGCATATTGTTAGCAGTTCAAGTGGCTATAGAAGCAGCAGTCCTAATTTTTATTATCTCGTTATTGATCGATCTTCAGCCGGAAGAAAAAAAAACCACACAAGGATCTCGAATGAGATTTCTCTTTCTGGGTTAAAAATTAATTTATCCACACACTCACACAAACACACACGTGCGAGTCACACAAGAGCCACGAGATTTCCCCTTCGTCGATAATTGAACCTACGTCGCATCAATTTTCACGAACACCCACCAATCCAGCTATCCCACGACTTTAATTTAATTTTCCCAAGTCACGAACCCCTCTATCCAGCCTATACTAAGACACAGAGAACTACTTGGAGAACTGAATCACTTGGTTCAACCCTCGTCCAGGAAGATTCCATGTGAAAATGTATTTCTGAAAGTCACGTAGCCCCCATAAAAATTATTTCCTCGATATAGCGAAACTTGCCATCCTTCCAATTATTTTTCTTCTTCGATCGATCTCTCTTGAACTCAAACACAATATTATTCCTTGCAAGTGTGTTTCTTCAAGATCTGTGGATCAAAATTAAACTTATTGAAAGAGATATTTTCAGAAGATAAAGGTTTAAAAAGAAGGAAGATGTATAAAATTTCTATCAGATACACCATCGTTCGATTAATTTAATGCCACGAATAATACGAGAGGGGTCAAGTTGTAGGTATGGAATCACGCAAAAGAAGAGGATACGATCGAAAATCGTTGCGTAGCTTTAAACATCCTTTAATGATCTTTGATCAGCAACAATATGGGCCGGCCACGTGCATAGTGCACTGTCGTAGACGCTAAAATTTATGAACGGCCGCCCATTATACGGCGTGGAACTCGCGAAGTATTAACTTCGTTAAAGCGACGTGCTAAATGAAAGGGGCCGCAAGTTGCTGTTATGCGTTCACGACCTATACATATCGATCGCTGATTCATCCACGTAATACATAATCAGGCTTAACTGTGCATAAATATTCATTTTGGCTTAAATGTCATAAATATCCTCAATAATATTTTCCCCAATATAATTGTATATTTTTTTAATATCGTGAAAAGGTCAATTTAAAAACTTGCCGTCACTCTATTCTATTAGATATTGTAACATGGAAACGCTGTTGGTTGACGCAACACTCCAAGTATGTCGATTAATTAATTCGCTTCTTACACGAGGAAGCGTGTAAAATGTTAGGAAATCGAGCGAGTAAAAAGAATCCACTTATAGAATATATATTTTCAGAAATTTCACCTTAAGTTATTTTTTAAATCCAATTTCGAACAATTGCGAATATATTCAAATTCTATTCCATCTCTTCTCCGCCAATAGTATTTCATTAATCTCGCGTTAAGCGCGAAGAAACTCGGCCAGTTTCTCCAACAATTGCTCCCTAATAATTTATTAACACTGGGCAAACCACTGGCTAAAACCACTGGTCGTTTAATCACATTCACCGTGGAAAATGGCGTGTCCCCCTACATTCCTAGGGAATTGAACGGCCGCCAGGCCACTTGGAATATCAGGGCCGATTCATTTCTCGCCACGAATTGCTCGTCGTTGCAAAAATTCCTCTCCCCACGGGCGGGCGCCCATTGTTCTCGCCTCCTCCTCCTCCTCCTCCCCTCCCCTCCCCCTTTGTCCCGCTACCGCGAAACATTTCGTAATTAGTAACAATGCCTGCCGGCTAAACAGAGAGATTATTGAACGGCGGAAACTCCCTGTGGAGACTTCGGTGGATGAAAGCTTGGATCGAGGAATAAATAATAAACGGAAAAAGGGGCCAAAGAAGATGGATTTCTTTAACGAGGAGAACCTTTAATTGCGAGTCTTTCGCGATTGCGGGAAAGATCTCTTATTTTCCAGATTGCCTCTCGTGATTTTTGTCGCTGAATTTTCTGGTTCATGATTCGAGTCAGAGGAATGGGGAAAATTGATAAAATTGAAGATCAATCGATATAATTTTTCGTCTCGAGGAAAATTGATGATCGTTAAGTCGAATAATCTGTTTTCCACTGTAATAGAAATTTCAAGATTATTAAAAATTAATCGTATGTAATTTGGTGAATTCTTTACTTCGCTACGTTTATTTAACGGTTCCAATATCGATATAAGAATAACACTCTATGACATATGACGAAGAAATTATACGACAAATCCCCGAGAGATCTGTGAAACTGTGAATAAAGTATCGCTACATCGAACTGATAATAAACTAGGATTTGAATCTAGGTCTTTCGCTTGTCAAACGATTGCTTTACCAATTGGGCTATTTGATCGAATAAATTCTTCTTCCTTGCATCCAATACTATCGATGTAAGTAACCACGTCGTAAATACATGAGATCTCTGTTTAGAATCTGTTTATACATCTTCTATCTTAAATTCTTTCAATATAGAAAATAGACGATTTGTTGGGTATCGCGAGCCTCGAAACCTTTTTTTGAAAAAAGAAAGGGACGTCACGTGTAACATTCTTCGAAACTAAGCCCGTGCATCTATTCTCTTTATTCCATGCTGAAAGATGTTTGAAGGGAGGGGGGAGTGAACGACACCTGGCAAAGACAAATGGCGCATAAAAGATCGGAACAAACAGAAGACGCTCCGCATATTCGTCTCCCAAACATGAGATATTGCGATTCTTTCGAGGATTACAGCCAGCTTGCGCTGAATAGATGACAGAGCGATCGGTATACTTTAATATTCCCCGTGTCCATAAATCGCATGGAAAACAGAAAACAGAAAATTGAATTATTCCAAATGTTATTCTTCGCGATAGATTTCTGGCTTTGTTCATTGATAATTTCGCTAATAAAATCCTTTATTACCCTTACTGCCATCGATCTTCCTTACATCTTTTCAAGAATTTTTCAAACTTCTTCTAAAAGTCGCGAATTACCTCGAAATAGTGTGAATCTCCATTAAAGGACAAATCCTACTTTTCATATCAATAAAAACATTCGCGATCAATTCGTTCGACGAGATTTCTTTTCAGACCCTTGAAAACTGTGAACCATCGTGAACGATTGTGATCCGAATTCAAGGTCAATCGGTAGAGAGAGGAAACGGTTCGCCATAAATCAGATTGGGGTCGTGGGATCTTTGACATGGTTTCGGGCTCGCGGGTTTCGCGATCGAGATTTTTTTTTCCTTTGCGGTCACCGAACGGACCTGGTTTCATTCGATGGGCCCCACCCCTTTCCACGCGTCCCCGCAAGGAACCCCTCGTCATAAATCCTCCGGTAGGTATCCTCGTGCGTGCTGTACCAGTTTCACAGGGACCATCTTCTCTTTTTTTTTTTTTTTACATCACCTCGATTTATCGGTATTACCTGAACAACTTCTATCGTATCGTATCCTCTTGTATCTTGTGTTGTAGTCTCGAACCATCTAATTTTTCTATGATGGCGGAGATAGTCTGTACGTAGAGGGAGGAGGGTCGTTCTGGGGAGAGGAAATTTAGAGCTGTGTCTGATGATATCATCGAGGGTCGTTGGAATTGTGGTGTTGTTTGTTTGAATCGTTGAAGGGGAGCATTGAGATTTTCTTTATTGTGTTCTGGTATTGTTTCAGAGCTTGGGATTTAGGGGATTATATACGATTAATTTGATGGATTGAAATAATGATTTTGTACGTGACGTTTACGTGGCCTTGGATTCGTTTTTTTTCCCCTGGAATATTTATAGGAGAAAGTATTTCGAAATATTGAACACAGTAATTGTAAAAAAAAAAAAAAATGGAATGTTTGTCTATGTGTTTGATAGAGATACTAGTCACTTGTGACCAAGCACGTTTTCCAATCTTCATCCTTACCCCTCGCATATTTCTTCGCGAAGGAGGTTTTTCCCTCTGATTTGTTACGATATTTATGAAATTCTCGTTTCACGCAGTTTCATGGACGGAAAAATAGAAGAACAGGAAAACGACGTGAAAGCATGGCATTTGTAACCGAAAGCTTTTCGAGGATTTTCTTTATTCTCCCTCTGTTAATCTGGAAATGATTCATCATCAATTTCTATCTTCCATTTTCTAAATGTGATTATCAATATTTCAATTTTCAATATTCAACTAATCTCTCTAATACTTCAATTAAATTGAGCTTTATTATAATTAACTTTAATAAGCTTCATTGCAAATTTAACTCGGACAAATTTTTGTTCAATTGCAAAGTAAAATGTATTAAAAATTGTATCAAAATCATTGGCTTCAATTTCTGGATCCTAAAAATTAATTATACTTTAACTTTCACGAACAAAAATAATTTTCCTCCCTTGGAATTAACAACGAATTATTAAATTAGAATAAAACTCGTCGAAAGATAATTTCTAGATAATTTATTAACACGCTTCCTTCCGTTCCTTTGTCCAGGAATGTCCGGGCGAGGCGAAGGACTTCCGTGCGGAGCAGTGCGCGGAATTTAACAGCGTGCCATTCGAGGGAATTTACTACGAGTGAGTATAATCGAAAACGATCTCCGTGACGTTCTGTCAGCGTATCGGTGGAAATCGTTTTGAAATCCCGATCCTGATTTATCCCTTCTTCCACGTCATGTTTGACGATGGAAGACCGTGACCTCTTCACGTCCAGATCTAATTCCAAGTTGAAATCTATCCTCGTTTTAATTCGTGTCTTCACGTGTCGTTGATACTTGAATCGTTATCGAAAACTATTCTTTTGATACGTTTTAAAATATATATCTTTATACTTAAAGGATACTAAAGCGAATATTCTTTTGATTATCTTTTCGAAGAGTAACATGATGAAAAGATGGTGCGATTTTGTTACGCTTTTCTTCATTCAAGGTCGCAAAATAAATTTGAATAAGACAGTCATCGCTGTTATTATAAATTTACATCACAATTCGCCTTCATAAATATTATTATACGTCGCTTCCAACACAAAAGACGATAATCGGACACGAATTGATCAAAATTACGCGTGTATCATTTTTTTCATCTCACGAAACAGCAACAAAATTTAATTTTCACTCTACAAACGATCTCCATTGGATATTTGTTAAACTTTTCGAAAGAGGAGATCGAGCCAGTTATCGATGGCGATCGGTGGATCTCCTCTGGTGAGCAACAATGGTGAGACTAATCAGTGCAAAATCATTCGCAGTTGGATTCCGTACACGGGCGGGCCGAACAAGTGCGAATTGAATTGCATGCCACGAGGCGAGCGTTTCTTCTACAGACACAAACTGATGGTGATAGACGGGACGCCATGCGAGGTGGAGAAGAACGACGTCTGTGTCGGAGGCAAATGCATGGTGAGTTAAACGATCCTCAAGTGATCGAGGCCGTTGTCCATTCCTCTTTGAATCGAATCGTGTGGGCAATTGAGTAAAAATTAATTAAATTTCGTTATTGTTATCCGTGGGTAATTCGTAATAAAAATATCAATAATTGCTTTAACGTGTAATTGTTGTTTGATTGGTTAGCCTGTTGGATGTGACATGATGCTTGGAAGCGAGGTGAAGGAGGATGCTTGCAGGGAATGTGGAGGAGATGGGTCTAATTGTAATACAGTTTCCGGTTTGTTCGATACGGATGATCTTCAAGCGGGTAAATGAAAGTATTTGTATTAAACAATATTCTTCTCGTCTTGCCGTAGTACTAGGTCAAATTTGATTTAGATTGTGTCACTTGTCGTTCTTCGTAATTGAAATAAAATATCAATTGAACTTTTATAGTGCGATTGATGTGCAATTAAAGATTAGAAAATAAGATACATTTTAAGAAAAAAGGATTATTATATAATTAAGAGCATATTGTGAAATGTAACTACAAAATTATCTTTTTTTTTTTCTATTAAACATCCTCCAGGATACATCGATATCATACTGATTCCCAAAGGAGCAACGAACGTTGTGATAAGAGAGATCGAACCCTCGAATAATTATTTAGGTGAGTAAACTTTGAATATCGTAATGATCCATAATTACCATCATACCCGGTGATTAAACGTTGACGAGACCCGCCACGTTTTAACACGTTTTATACCGGCAGCTATTAGAAACACTTCGGGCCATTATTATCTAAATGGAAACTGGAGGATAGATTTCCCGCGAAGCTTGAAATTCGCCGGGACTATATTCCATTATTCGAGAGATCCGCAAGGTTTCTCAGCACCCGATACCATTACCGCCTTGGGACCGACGAATGAGCCAATTTACGTGGTGGTGAGTGGCTGCATCGCTCTTAAATAGCAAATTACAATGTTATATAGTCAATGAGGATCTGACTATTTTCAAGCATAATATAAAAATCTAAGTATCGAAGAAATTTTTTTTTATTAACAGCAAGCATTGGAATAAATTAGCTTTTTATAAATGATAAATAATTACCTTAAGTTGTACAATGAACCTATATTCAATTTTTTTACTTAGTCCAAGTAAAAAGTGAATGAGAAGTTGAATCCAAAGGACATTTTACATTATTTTTACTTTATTTAAAAAGAATTCCTCCTTGTGCAAATTTTGTTGAAATGCTTAACAAAAAATGATTATAAAGAATTATCTATCTAAAAATTATCTTCACAAATCCAAATAATCCATTCCTCGATTGTCCGTACAATTTCTTTATAATTCGAGGAATTTCCATCAAGAAGAAGAATAATTCGCGTAATTGTTTTTGACAGCTCCTTTATCAAGACCACAACGTTGGGGTTCACTACGAGTATAGCGTGCCGAGAAGGATTTCCCAGCAAACAGACGCGGATAGCTATACGTGGATAACCGACGAATTTTCCAGCTGTAGCGTGACTTGTGGTGGAGGTAGTATTTCCAAAATTGATATCGTTACAGCTAAATACACGGCGAATGTAATCAATAATCGGATAGCCGGTGTGTGTACGCTTCTATCGATGTTCTCTAAATTTGATCCAGCAATTTACGGAAGGTACAGATGCTCCGGGTTTGATGAAAATTTATTAATTAATATGCTTTCCATTTAATGCACCTCTAAACGGATCATTGGGTCAGTGATTCGAGAGCGAAAGTTGTTCATTTTTTGGAAGATTGGAATATTGATTCGATGATGATTTTGTTTCCTTGAAAATGAATTCTTGTTGTCAGAGAATTTTTTTTTGTCAATTCAATCAAATCAATTATAATATTATTATTTTTATATAAAATAATTTAAGTTTGATTAAATTATGAAACATTATAATTAATTATAATTTTTATATCATGTGTTGTAATTAAATGTAATTTGTAATTCATTTATAAATTTGGAATAACACATGTTCAATTTCAATAAATAATAATAATAATAATATAACGAGTAATGTAGATATTTAATAAGATAACGATTACCACTCTTACTTACCTATATAATAATTCTTTTTCGAAGGTTATCAATCGAGACGGGTGGCCTGTGTACGAAAAAGGGATAACCAACCGGTGGATGAGAGCCTTTGCGATCCACAGTTGGAACCAGCTGACACAGAGGCATGCAACGTGGACCCGTGTCCACCTGTGTGGGTGGAGGGCGAATGGGGTCCTTGCAACAAGCACTGCGGCAAAGGAGGTGAGCAGAGCAGAGAGATCAAATGCGAGCAGGTCATCTCCGGTGGAATCCCCACATTGGTGGACGATAGTCAGTGTCTGGAGAAGGTAGGACCAAAAGGGCCGACCAAACAGGAATGTAACAAGGACATACCGTGCCCCCAATTCCACGTGGGACCCTGGAAACCGGTGCGAATTTTTAGAATAAATATTTGTTGATATTTTAAAATTTAAAAGTTTTTACGTTCCAATTTTATCCTCGTTTTAATAATTAATTATATTTATTTTTGGAATACTTAAACGTGATGATGTATCACATATGATTCATTCAATGGAAAAAGCTCTTCAGAATCTTTTGATCTATATACATAATTTGGACACACACACACACACATATATATACAACAAAATAATCATAATTATATAATAAATTAATAATGGTAAATTTTTTTGTATTTTCTTATTACACAGTGTGATCATTTGTGCGGACCGGGCAAGCAAACAAGAAGAGTGACGTGTTACAAGAAGGTGGACGGGAAGATTCAAGTGCTGGAGGATCAGGCATGCGAGGGAGACGTTCCAGAGCGTGAGAAACCTTGCGAATTGAGACCTTGCGCCGGCCTCGACTGGGTCACGTCGGATTGGAGTGGAGTAAGCCCGCAATTTTTCACGCGATACCGCCTAAACCTCTCTCTCGTGGTGTCATTCCATTTAAAATATAGGAGAAAATAAAAGCTTCTGTACGAATATATTTTCGGCAAGCACGAGAGCATGTAAATGAAAATAGTGTCCTATATTTTTTTTCGTGTCACGAATTCGTTCTCTCTTTACGATTATTGCTCGACAACTTTGATCACTTTTCCCCAGTGCGACGACAAATGTGGACTTAGCCAAGAAACCAGGACCACATACTGCGCCACTCAAGATGGAACCGTTTATCCGGATGAAAAATGCAACGTCGAAAAGCCTGAATTGGTGCGAGATTGCGAGAGTAAAAAGGAATGCGAGGTTCTCTGGTTCGCTTCTCAATGGAGCGACGTAAGTTTATTATTTATTGTTAGAATATTAGCAAGTGAAATTCAGCAATTGTTTGTACCCTCTTGCTCCATAATTTATTAATTAACGATACAAGTCAATTGAAAAGTTATAAAATGATAATTTATAAAATTTTCTTCTATAGTTTGACACATTCTGTACGAGTGACAGTGCGCGTCATGAACTTTTCCAAGAAACGTGAAAGATGAAAAAGAATTTTCCGGCTTTTCTTTTGCACGCGTGTTCAGTACGAGTGTTATCGTTAGTATACACAGTCATTTTGAATTTCATTGTATTTTTAATCCCGTGATTTTTGATCCCGCATTTTTGAACGAGCTAATAATTTTATATCAAAAGCTTGTAAATTTTCCTTTCTTTTAATATTAAATTGTTATTGTTAAGCAGATAATTAAAAAAGAAATTGAATTTAAAAGTGTAGGATATATTTGTCTCACAGAAGATAGAAGATAGAAAATAACAATGACAGAATTTGTTATAATAAATTTTCTGTCGGATATTATCGATTTCAAAAATTTAATTTATAATATTTTTTTCACGAAAAAGTTTTGTTCTTACGTATTTTATACATGTCCACATGTGACATTTGACATACAATTACTTCGGTCCCATAGTGTTCAGCGAAATGTGGGTCAGGTGTGCAGACACGCAAGGTGTTCTGTGGTACGTTCGAAGGTGAAACGGTGACGAAAGTGCCGGACGAAAAATGCGACCCGGCCAAGAGATTCAACGACACGAAAAATTGCACAGCCGAAGAGGAGTGCAAAGGAGAATGGTTCGCTGGCCCGTGGAGCAAGGTAATGCATATATGCATTTTGAAATCAACCTCAAGTTTCTGTGGAATTCTTTCTCCGTTCAATGATTTTGAATGATTCCATTCAATGATTCCATTCGAAGATCGAGAATATATAAAATTTCACATAAAAATAAAAATAAAATTCATAAACGAAACTGATAAATTCTGCAATCTCTTATAGTTACAAATAAAGTAAAGGATAAAAGATTTTAATTAAAAAGATATATCAACCATATATAATTTTATGATACTCATTTCATAAAATTTTTCATCAACATTAAAATTCCAGGAATTTCATTTTACACGAAGTTTTATCAGCGCTCATTTTCCACATGATTTCCTTGATTTTATGATCTTAATTAACATTATCCTTGAATACTGTTTCGTTGAGAATCAAATAATCTCTCTTATTAATTTCAATATCAATTAATTACTTTTTGTATCGAAATGTTTGAAATTGATTTCATTTTTTAAATACCATAATGAGTATTGATACTTTGGATATTTTCCTTTTTTTTTCTGCATTTCATTTCCAAGTACATTCCATAAATTTTTATACATTTTCACCACTATATAAATATCCGCATTCTCTTTGTAATCGAAAATTTGAAAATTTTCTACTCGTCTGATCTTCACGAGCAATTGAAATATTCAATTCTAGCAATTCTCTTAGGGGACGATTTTCTTAGAAAAATCTCGTTACCAACGTGAGGTATTCGCGAGAAATATACCGCGTCCTGTTCTCCTTCGGTCGCCAAAGAAATTCAATATCTTCGACGGCTTTGTAGCGAGCCTAACAAGAAGGCGTCCGCCTCAAATTTCTTCCATTAATCACCTTACCGTGTTCCAGTGTTCGAAACCGTGCGGCGGTGGCACGATGGACCGCAAGGTGATTTGCATGAAGGCCAACATGACGGTCCCGCCTGTGCAGCTGAGCAACTGTGGCACCAACACGATCATATTCTCCATAGAAAATTGTAACAACCAACCATGCGAATCAGGTATCTTCTATGATAATTCCATAAATATTTTGCGAAAATTGACTTAGATCCGATTAAAGAATTTCAATTTCAATTTTCTGCATCAATTTCTTTTTGTGCTTGAATAATTCATTTTTTTCTTCTACTTTTATTTTTATCCTTTAATCTTGTAATAAATTATTTGAAAATTTATTTAATTTTGGATTTAGAAAAATTCTTAAATCTGAAATTGTCTAATCTTAATAAAAAATTAAAGTAAAAAAAGATAAAAAAATGATAAAATAAATAATTTTGTATCTTTCTATAAAGAAATATCTTCAAATCTAGTTAGATTGTTAAGAGGGAATATCGATGGAAATAAGATTATGTATATTATTAAGAGTAGAATACGAATGTTTTTTACAATATGTCTCTGAAAACAAAATGAGACCAATTATACAAAATTATTTTAATTTGTGTTTATCCGTCGATTGTAATAATTTCGCACTTCATTATTCTGTAAATAATAAATTATGAAATTTTTTATCATATTGTATTTAAAAATATATTACCTAAATTAAAAAAATATTTCTATACAGGTCAGTTTTCAATGACAAAAAGAAATAGTATATAACTAATTACGTTTCAAAATTTTTCTATTAAAATTAAAATTTAAAATATATATTCAGAAATTTTATCTCTAAATTAAGAATAATTATTAAAAACAGATATTAAATTAGAATTTATAGAATCTCAAATTTTTTTTAATTCAAATCATCGTTTCCAGATGAAGTGATACCAATGCAACCAGATAAGATCAAAGATCTCACCGAGGAGGATGATGAATGTGAAGTGTATGAGGATGAAGACTTTGTGACTGTCTCATCTAGTCTCGCACTTAGCGTAAGTGAAATTCATTTGTAATTAATCGAATACCTAGTTCCATAACATCTTCTCTTAATATTACATTCCACCTTCTAGATGCAGAAATTAATCTCTTCTGTTCCTTAAAATTGATTATTATTTTTTAGTTAAATTTTAAAATTAATTTCTAAAATTTCTAATAAATTTTTAAATTTAAATCACAATACTTATTTTTTGTTTTATAGGATAAATCCAGCAAAATGTCAGACCTTACCGAGGCAACTCCTCTAAGTTCACCAAGCACAGATGATTCTACTGGAAACGACATGGACGATTTAATGCTCAACGATGATGGTGCCACTCGAGGCGACATATCTCCTGGAGAAATGGAAAACGGTGAAGGAAGCGGAACAGATTTTACCGATACATTCTTCTACACTTATACATCGGAATTCGAGTCAACATTCGAAGGAAGTGGAACCAGTGAAATCACAGAAGAAAACGAATTGTTTACTACAGAATCTGGAATCACGGAAAGTGATGTTACCGAGGAGACTGTCGAGGGATCCACCACTGATTCCACCGATGAATCATCTGTGGAGTCGGTAACACAAGAAACTCTGGCATCTGGTGGTAAGTTTATTTAATTATATTTTTGGAAACATGATAAATTGAAGATACTAGTTAAATTATAATTTTCATATGATTTTCATATAATTTTATAATATTAAAAACTTATCGCGAATTTGTAACAATAAGAATTTAATAAAAAATATTTCATTTTAGAAAATATAATAATTTCAATTATCAATGTAATTTTGTAATTTTTACTTATTAATATAGAAACAGATATGACAACCGAATCAGGCGCAACCGAAGCAACAACAGTTTCTTCTGAGAGCGGAGCAACCGAAGCCACATCGATGACAGAATCTACGGAAACTGAAGGTACTGGGCCGACAGAATCCACTGAAGCAGGTCCAACGACTTTTTCATCGGAAACTGAAGGCACAGTTACGGAACAGCAGATGACTGAAGAATCTGTATCAACAGTTACAAAATCTGATGATACAGATAAGACTACAGAAACAAGTGTCACCGAGGAAACTACTGAATCAGGATCTACAGAATCAACAATGTCGACAGAATCAGGACCGACAGAAGAAAGTACAGAATCTGGAGTCACAACAGAATCTGGAGCCACAACAGAATCTGAAGCTACAATAGAATCTGGAGCCACAACAGAATCTATGCCAACTGAAGTCACAGAGTCAACAGAATCTGGAGCTACAACAGAGTCTGGAGCCACAACAGAATCTGAAGGTACAACAGAATCAGCAACTGAAGTTACTGAATCAACAGAATCTGGAGGGACAACCGAAACTACAGAATCTGGCCCAACGGAAACTACCGTATCTGGTGAAACTACTGAATCTGGTCAAACCACAGAATCTGGTGCAACAACGACAGAGGAAACAACGATTTCAAGCGAGACTACCGAATCGGGTGAAACTACAGAGTCTGGTACAACTGAGAGTGGTGAAACAACTGTCTCTGGAGTGACAGAGTCCACCGTTTCCGGATTGACACCGGTTACTGATGAAGAAGAGACCGAAGTAACAGAGAAGACGCACGTAACTGAATTCTGGACGACGCTCGCTCCGGAAGAGGTCACACGCAAACATCGCGTCTGCAAGGTGCCTAAAAAGAAAAAGACCTGCAAAACTATGCCGTTTGGTTGCTGTTACGATGGAATCACTGCAGCGCTAGGACCATTCGGCCAAGGATGTCCCACAGCCCAAACTTGCAATGAGACCAAACACGGTTGCTGTCCTGATGGAGTATCACCAGCCACTGGTCCAGAGAACAAAGGCTGCCCTGAATCTCTCTGCGATGAAACATTGTTCGGTTGTTGTCCAGATGGAGTTACCATTGCTGAAGGCAATGATTTCGAAGGATGCAAAAAACCTTGCAACGAGACAGAATTTGGATGCTGTCCGGATAACGAGACACCGGCTAGTGGAGAAAATAACATGGGATGCTGCAATAGCACTGAATTCGGTTGTTGTCCCGATGGAATCAAGCCTGCTTCTGGACCGGATGGCGAAGGTTGCGAGGAGGAGATCACTTCTATCACTCCACTTACTGAAGAATATGAAACGACCACTGTGCAGGAAGATTGCTCGAATTCCACTTATGGGTGTTGCCCGGATGGTATTTCCACTGCAACTGGCGCCAATTTTGAGGGATGTGGTATTATCAATGCGGAGAACTGTACTATATCTTACTTTGGATGTTGTCCTGATGGAGCATCACCAGGTTCGTATCAATTTTCTAAGATAAAATAATATATAATATATGAATTTTCTGATATTTATTATAAAATAAATTCTATGAGTATCTATTTTTTACTCGATATTATTTCATATTTTTAAATTGAACAATTATTCCAATTTCTTTAATTTATCTTAAAATCTTCAATATTTAATGTTCATCAGCTCTTGGACCCAATAATTATGGATGCCATATGCCCTGTGAGAATAGCACCTATGGTTGCTGTGAAGATGGTGTTACTCCTGCACACGGTCCCAACAGAGAGGGTTGTTGTCTATCAACACAATACAAATGTTGTCCGGATAACATACTTCCTGCTCGTGGTCCCGATTTCTACGGCTGTGGATGTCAATACACGAGATTCGGGTGTTGTCCCGATAATAGTACCGCTGCTCGTGGACCGAACAACGAGGGTTGCGGATGCAAATACACGCCCCATGGTTGTTGTCCAAACCGTTTTACGCCGGCCACAGGGCCGAATTACGATGGTTGTCCGTGTTACACGTATCAGTTTGGTTGTTGTTCCGATGGTGTCACTATTGCAAAAGGTCCACATGGACAAGGTAATTGTATAAAATTAGAATTAAAATTAATATTAATTTTAATCAAATTTTGGTAGAATTTTGATTGAAAATGTATCGAAAATGTTTTATATATTTTATATATTTTATATATTGAACCAAACAACAAAGAATATTGAACTTTTAATATTATGATGAAAACTCCATATTGATCATATCATTATAATATTAGATACAACTATATTTTGAATAATATATTTTATAATATATAATATATTTTGAATAATATATAAAGATGTATATATATCCAAATAATATTTATATTTTAAATTAAAATCTTTTATAAAAACGTTTTATTAAATTGATAAAAATTAAATACACACTTTGATGATTATTAATTCTATTAATAATCAAAAAGTAAATATAAACAAGTAAATAAAATATAAAAAGCATAAATATAAACAAAAATTGAAATAATTTAATCAAATCTAAGTAACTATATTATTTAATATCCATATTCATGTGCAACTTGATACTTACATCTTATATCATACAGCAAAGCAACTTTTAATTTATAATTAACGGTACGTTCCTTATGGGAATTTGCAGGCTGCGGTTGCGAGAACACGGAATTCAAATGCTGCTCAGACGGAAGAACACCAGCAAAGGGCCCGAACTTTGCCGGATGCACTTGCGATGCCTCGAAATACGGATGTTGTCCGGATGGCGTGGAAGAAGCTCAAGGAGAGAATTTCGAGGGATGTCTCTCAGTTCCATCCATCCCTGGAGCGGCTTGCGCGTTGGAAAGAGATAGAGGACCATGTCGAGACTTTACTGTTAAATGGTACTTTGATACAGAATATGGTGGATGTTCAAGATTTTGGTATGGAGGCTGCGAAGGTAATGACAATCGATTCAAGACTCAGGAAGAGTGTAAGGAAGTGTGCGTGCAGCCTAAAGGAAAAGGTAATATAAATAAAACGTGAATATTTAATTGTTTCAAAAATTTATAGAGTTTTTTATAATTGATATTATTTTATTTTCAATATTATTTTGATATTCAAATTATATTTTGGTAATTGATATATTTCTTTAATAATTTTCCTTGTTAGATAAAATAAAAAATTCCTTTTCTTTTCTAAATTTTTAATTTTTTAATTGTAAGAGATAATGAAATATAATTTTTGCAATTATGTCGTAGATGCCTGTTTCTTACCAAAGATTTCTGGACCCTGTGAAGGCTATTTCCCTACATGGTATTATGATTCTGGTAGAAAACAGTGTGGTCAGTTTGTCTATGGTGGATGTCTTGGTAATGCGAATAAATTTAAAACCAGAGAAGAGTGCGAGGAACTTTGTGTCACTCCTGATGATCTGGGTAAATTAATCAACTTTTTATTACTTCCAATGTTTTTTATTACATTTAATATTTAATTAATTGCAGAATCTTCACTTTACTTCATTCAATGGAATGTTTTTTTCTATTTTCTGATTAAATTTGGTGATGAAAATTTTTTTCAATTTATTTACATGTTTTTCATGTGAAGTTTCATTTGTAATTTTGCATGAATGTAATTGCATTCAATTGCATTGTTGTGATATAAAATATAATGAAATACAATTTAAATTTCTTGAAAAATTTTGGGTTAAATTATAATACTAGTATTAATCTTCAATTTTCTTTAATTTTTATTATATTTTATTTCATAAGATCCTTGCGACCAAACGAAAGAATCAGGTCCCTGCGAGGGCAACTTTACCAGGTGGTACTTCAACGCAGAATCACAAGTTTGCGAACAATTCCTGTACGGTGGATGCAAAGGAAATGATAATAATTTCCCAACGGAAATCGCTTGTCATCAACAATGCCTGCAACCAGGAAGAAGACGAGGTATGTTCATCCATTCCAATTCTTTCATTCGACATCCGCACGTATCACGCTCGTTTTTCTGCCTGAAACCATATTTTTATTATATATTATTTGTTTTTACTAGATATACATTTAATAGTGTTTCAGATTTTTATTATTCTTCATAAACAAATCGAAATATGTGACAATTTTTTTTTCGATTTGTCTTTTGTTTTCATTTTTAAGCGATTTTTCTTGCAGTTGATATTTTTTTTTATCAAACACGAGAAGGATATGATGGAGATCGTAAAAATTGTTTTAATCATTTTTGACGAAAATCAATCCGCGTATAATTATTTTTTTCACATACATGAATTGAATTTTTCTTGATTATTGATAAAATTGTTAACAATGAAGGATTGATGAAAAAAGAAAAAAAGAATAGTAGAACTAAATCGCCAGAAAAAGAATTTGATTAAATTGGAATGTTTATTAAAATTTTAAAATTCCATTAATAATATCATGATTAATTTTTACAAGTATTAAAATATGATTTAAACGTATATTTCTTATTCACAAAGAATGCAGAAGGTACTAAAGCAACGTATAACAACAAAATATAAAAAAAAAATAAATACATGAGAAAATTAAATCATAATGTACAAACTAATATTTTCCAATTCTGGCGACTTAGTACCTTAGCAAATATCATTCTGAATCTTCACTTTCAATTACACTAAACATGATATATCAGCAAACATAATTCAGGCACCATACGCCACATCCAAGCACCAAAAATTGGCACTGATCATCAGATATCGAATATACAACGAAATAATCCCTAAGTAATCGTAGAAAATACATACTATTTACAGTAAAACTGACAGACGTGTGCCGGTTGGAGAAAGATCCCGGCCCTTGTCCGGGCTCTGTGTTACGCTGGTATTATGACGCCGGGCGTCAGACGTGTAGCCAATTTGTTTACGGCGGTTGTAAAGGCAATGCGAATAGATTCCGTACACGTGCTGCTTGTGAGCAGCGCTGCCCTGTAAAAGGTATCAGAAAAAGTCAAAAAAGGCAAAAGAAAAAAAAAAGGAAAAGAAAATGAATAGAACATGGAAAATAGCAAAGAAAGGAATTAAAGAAAGGAATTGAAGAAACAAAAGCTTATCTGCTTTTTGAATAATTGAATCGCTCGCAATTCGTAGAAAAAGAAAGAAAGAGAGAGTAATTTCTTATTCGTGGGTGTTGGTGGAACGATTGGACGTCGTTTTAATCGAGAAACAATTCTTATTGTTGTCGTTGGTGTTGGTTCGTTTGTTATTATATATCTCTATTTTTTGGCATAAAACAGAATTGGGCATACATCAAATTCACGTTTATAAATTCATATTTAATTTGTTGTTTTATATTATATTATTTTAAATAATTTTTTTAAAGAATAATTTATACAATGTAAGAATAATGTGTTTCAAAACAAAATCTAATTTATGTTATTTTTAAAAAAGCATATATTAGGATTTATTAAAAATGTAAAAATATATTTGAGAATAAAACTTTTAAGAGTATTTTTTACAAATAAATATTGTGTTGAGAGTGACTATCCAATAAAATTTTCATTTTCAATGGATTATCAGTCTAATTACAAAATTATCCTTTAGAAATTTATTGATAGTTTAATTTTTTGAAAGATAAAATTTTTATTTTTTATTTTTAATTTTTAACTTTATATTATTATTGAAAATTATTAAATATTTGCAATTTTTTGAGATTTATTTCCATTTTTTTTATATATATTTATCTCGAAAAAAAGTGCCCAATTCTATCACAAAACAAAGCACGTTTAACGAAAAAAGCACTATTAGTTTGGTGAATCTCGTTCTATACACAATTATTTCTATTTCACGATTGATTGTAATCAATCATTATATATCACGCATTATTTTTTAATCGTGCATTATTCACAATAAAAAGCACTCTTTTCGTCGGAATTGCACGCTATTGCACCACTGCACGAACGATAAATTGATCGAATCGATAGTTCGACTTTATCCTTCGAGAAGCGATTCTCGTCTCGAGAATAATCGTTCTATGGCTTTTATCGCCTAAAACGAGTTTTCTCGATTTTTCTCGATGTTTTTAGTGTTCAATGAATGATCGCGTCGATATTTATTGTTTATTAAAAAAAGGGAATAGATTTTAATTTCTCTTTTGATTTATAATTTTTAATAATTTATTGTGAACATTCGGTATTTAAATAAAAATTTTTCATGGTGGAAAGTAAAAATTGCAAGAAAAAACATTTATATTTTCAGGAATTTTTGAAGAATATTTATTTCCAAACTATGGCGGTTAATCAGTCATTTGCTGTTTACTATAAACTAATAATTTTTAATTATTGATTTATTGAAAAAAATTGAAATAATGAATTCAATTGAGTATGTACTACAAATATATTTCTAAAATTTCAATATTATATGTAAGGAAAGAATTTATTAATTCTATGATTCAGAAAAATGTAAATTGAAGTAAATCGCAAATGAAATGGTTAATGAAATCTATACGAGAATCCGATATTGCATGATATAATAATTAATGCGATTAACAGATAGTTGCTTGCTGCCGCGAGCCGAAGGTAACTGTGGTGAGAAGCAATCTCGATGGTACTTTGATCAGTCGGAGAATCGGTGCATGCCATTCTATTATACTGGTTGCGGTGGGAATAAAAATAATTTCGAATCTAGGGACGCATGCGAATCTGATTGCCCGGCTAAAGTTGGTAAGACTTCGTCTAATCACTTTCTTAAAAAAAAAAATAAATAAATAAAATAAAATAAAAAGAATCATACTATCTTTATCTTTATATTTCTTTAATAAGATTTATCGATGCTTAATGCTCATTAACGCTTTTCTTAGCAGTTTTGTTCGATTATGTCGGCGTTCCTTTCTTGTGTAATTATCTTCGATATCGATTGTACCATATGCACGCAAATTTTATTATGAGTTATAATCGTATGTCTTTTGCGCAAATAAAAAGATATTTTTAATACATATATACGTTATATACATTTTTGCTATAAATTTATTATATGTTATATATTGCTTTATTTGTTAAAATATGAAATAAAAAGTCCTATGAATTAAAAAAAAGAAGAAATAGAATTTTTTAAATAATTTTGTTAAATAATTAAAGAAAAGTTAGAAATAATTTTAATTCTATTGAATTTAATGGAACATTTTAAATGGATTTTATAGAACTTTTTATTTCTTTGTATTAAATTTTATATATATCTTATACTATTCTAAATTTAAATACAGAGCAAGATACCTGTCTCTTGCCCGCACTTTTGGGAGAATGCCACAACTATACTCAACGATGGTACTACGATTCGTACGAACAGCAATGTAGACAATTCTATTATGGTGGTTGCGGTGGAAACGAAAATAACTTTGTCACCGAACAAGATTGCATTAATAGATGTCAGACTACGATTACTACCCCTGCACCAGTAAGAGAGGTCGAATTTAAATTAGGTAATATTTTTATCTTTATTATGAATTTAATTTGAATTTCACTTGATATAAAAAAAACTTAGGTAATTTCATATCTTATATATTATTATATATAAAACTATTAATTATTAAAAATAATTGAATTATAGAAAGATTAAAATAAAGTTTAAGGTGAATTTAAAAATATATATATATATATAAATAAACTTTTCAGAATTTTGCTTCCTTCCGGATTCTCACGGTCCATGTTCTGATGAACAAATCAAATGGTTTTATGACAGTAGAGAAGGTGTTTGCAAACAGTTCAGATATGGGGGCTGTCAAAGCAATGGAAATAATTTCAATAGTCGCGAAGAATGTGAATATCGATGCGGAGATGTTCAAGGTTTGTAATTTTAACTGAATATTCAATTCTTTCATTACATTATTATTTAATCACATGTTTTTCTTCAAGCATCCTTATTACATATTTTCATTTAAAATCATATCAACAATTACTCCAACTATTTTTTATTCTTTTTCTTTAGATGCTTGTAGTCTGCCCAAAATTGTTGGGCCCTGTAGTGGTTTTGTCAAACAATACTACTACGATCACCGAGCAGATTCCTGTTACGAATTCGAATACAGTGGTTGTCAGGGTAACAAGAACCGCTTCCAGGATAAGGAATCCTGCGAAAAAAGATGCCAGAAACAAGTTGTTCAAACGGAAACAACGCCAAACGTTACTGTCACACTTGCTCCAGCAGTTGAAACTGTTTCGAAGAGCCCGATTTGTTATATTCCCGTTGATCCTGGTTCTTGCAATAATGATATCACAGCTTTTTATTACGATTCGCAGAATCAGATGTGTCAAGCATTTCTCTATGGCGGTTGTGAAGGAAATGCGAATAGATTCCAAACAGAAGAACAGTGTGAACGTCTTTGCGGAAAGTTTCATGGACAAGGTATATTCAAGAAATTTGAAAAATTTTTAATCATTATATTTCATTTTATAGTTTTATAGTTTTTTAATATTAATTATTCTCAATATATGTATTGTGTAATGCACAAATAATTGAAGTCAAAGTATCATTATGAAAACAATTGAACATATATAATTATCTTTCTAACTGAATAAAACTATAAAATTAATATAAATTAAATAATAATAATAAAATAACATTAAATATAAATATTAATTTTATCGAAGATATTTGAACATTTTTAATAATTGTAAAAACAAAAGATTATAATATGTTAAAATTAAAAATTTTTTAATTTATAATTTATAAAAGAATTTTTTTAAAGAATTATTTATAAAATCAATTTTATTAAAATAATTTTTATAGATACATGTAATCTACCGCCTGATTCTGGTGAATGCCGAGGTTATTTCCAAAAATATTACTATGATTCAGTCAACCGCATATGTCGCGAATTTTCATACGGTGGATGCGAAGGTAATGCAAACAGGTTTAGCTCAATGGCTGAGTGTGAATCTGTTTGCATTCATCACGAGGAACCCGTGCTTCCTGGAAACGACACCAGCCTTTCAAGCTTGTGTAAGTATTAGATTCATTAATCTCAAATTTCCATAAAAAAATATCATTAAAAATACCAAATAAAATTTGAGAAGAAATGCTATTCGAAAAAGAAATTGACTCGTGATGATAATAACGAGTTTTAAACGATAATGATTCAGCAAGTTGTAAAGAACCAGTTGACGTTGGATCTTGCACTTCTGGTACTACTAAACGATTCTATTTCGACGTTGAAGAGCAAACCTGTCGAGCGTTCATTTACACTGGATGCGGTGGAAATCGTAACAGATTCAAGACCTTCGAGTCTTGCATTAGTACTTGCCTTAGCAGTAAGTCGTGAAAATCTGTTTCCCAGATAATTGTATATTTGAATAATATGTTTTTGTAAATATTTTTAACTTTCAGCTTGGAACGTGATAAACATCTTTATGTTTTATATTGCTATATATTTTTATTGTTGTTTTATATTATTTTGTTTCAAATTTTGAATCCTTATGTACCTTTTCCTTTTTTATTAAAAATTCCTTTTTATTAAAAATCTTATTTATCTGCTTTTTATCTTTATATCTTAATTTTTTATCTTTATTTTTTAATGATGTTATATTTAATGATATATTCTATTAGCTCTAATTATTCCTAAGCTTCAATCCTGCTAGAAGCAAAAGTGTAATTTTGCTTTTATCACATATTATAATTTTTTTATTATTCTTTTATTTTATACTTATTTATATTTTTCATGTTTTTCAAAAATATATATATTTCAAAAATATTATATATATATCCTTTGTTATATAATTGTATTATATATTTTAATAGCTACTAACGAGATCGATGTAGATTCTGGAAAGGATACAAAGGATCCTTGCACTGAAGCACGCGAAGAATGTCAAACTATTCGTTGCCCGTATGGCAAAGAAGCGTTCGTGGACTCTCAGGATTGTGAACGATGTCGTTGCGTTGATCCTTGTAGAACACAAATTTGTTCCGATAACACAAAATGTGCCATTACCTTAGTTGCTACCAAAGATGGTACAGAGTACAAAGGAGTATGCAGATCAGGTAACTATAAAATTAATTTTTATTTTATATATTATATTCTATATTCTTATTATTCTATATTTTTCAATAAAATATTTTAATTATCTTTTTTAATTTTAATTCTAATTATAAAATATCCTTTGATAATTTTGAAAAATGTTAAACTATATAGATTCATAAAATATTTATTGATTTATTGATTTTGAACTAGAACAAAAAATACTTATTAAAAAATCCTTTCAATATCAATTTCAACAAAACAATTTTAATAATTAAATTAATGTGAATAATTATCTTTTTTAATTTTAATTCTAATTATAAAATATCCTTTGATAATTTTGAAAAATGTTAAACTATATAGATTCATAAAATATTTATTGATTTATTGATTAATATAATCTTTTTAAATAATTTACTTATTTAACTTATTATTTTACAAATACTTAATATACTTATTATTTTACAGTTATGAAATCAGGCCGTTGTCCAAGTGTATCGAATAGTACTAGATGTGAACAAGAGTGTCTCACAGATGCAGATTGTTCTGGAGATATGAAATGCTGTAATAATGGCTGCGGTGCTTCTTGTCTCGAACCAGCCGCCGAAGAAGTTATATCGACTTCTCCAAGATCGTTCGTTACTGTACCTGTAGTTGGTGCTGAACCAGCTTCCATCAAGCAACCAGAGGAGCCGAAAGTCAGTGCTCAGGAAGGTAGTTACGTAACATTGAAGTGCATTACTTTAGGAAATCCAAGACCAAAAGTTACATGGAGGAAAGGCACGACGTTGGTGAGATTCTTTGATTTTTCTGAAAAAATATAAATTAATCAATAGCATTATCAAAATTTTAATATAAAATTATATAAATTAAAAAGTTATAAAAATTGAATTATTATATGTAAGTTAAGTTATTATTATACAAGATATTATAAGATGATAATAATAGAAATTAAAATTTCACCAGATTGCAGATTCAGAAGCCAGACGTCGTATATTACTTGATGACTCTCTTCAAATTATTAATTTAGATCGATACGATGGTGGAACTTATGTATGTACAGCTGACAATGGCCTAGGTCCACCAGTAAGAGCAGAATACCAATTGACTGTCACAGGTACGTACATTAAATATTACTATAAAATACTGTCTTGTAAAGTATTTTGTGAACATGTTATGCATCTTACAAACAGTAGTTGATCGTTCTAATTAAATAATATAATATGAATGCTTTGTCTTGTGTTTAATATTTGTATTTATAGAAAAATTAATAATAATATCTCTTCATTTTAATTGTTCTCTTTGCAAATGATTTTACATAAATTTTTAATAGATTGTTTAATAGATGTTTATACAAATTTATATTTTTATAAACAATAGATTATTATATTTAATTTTCTAAATATTATCATATACATTTTATTTTCTATACTATTTCCATATTTATGCTCATTCTTATATATATTTTTATATATCTATATTTTTAAACAATAGCTAAACTATTAAAATATTTTCATTATAAATTCATTTCTATTTCATCAAATATTTCTCATAAGAACAATTATACCTAATAATTTGGTGATGGTATCCAACTTTCCTCTCTTCTGCATGCTGTCTTGACCTTATACAGAACCGAAAGAACTAGCTGCGGCCATCCTTGGAGAATCTGACGCACGTGTGACAGTTGCCATAAACTCTCCCATATCTCTGCATTGTTACGCATGGGGTTGGCCCAGACCTTTCGTCACTTGGTGGCGAGGCGAGCGCATGTTGCCACTCGCTTCAGAGATTTACGAACAGGATTCCGAATACTCCCTCCTGATTAGAACAGTCACTGTACAGACTCTAGGTGTTTACACCTGTCAAGCATTCAACGCAATTGGCAGAGCTGCATCTTGGTCGATCACATTGCAAGCTATCGGTCCAGTATACAATGTCAAGCCCGAGTACGAACAATATATGAAGTACCTGGTTGATGCTCCTAAAAAAGCAGAGAAACCTAGATATCCCTATAGACCCGATAGAACGCAAACTCCTGACTATCGTCAGATTTATGGAGCTAGTAATACAACTAGACAGAGTCAAATTCCTACGGTTAGTCCTATTGGATGGACTACTCCGGAATACGGTTTAAGGTTTAGAGGTGAGGATGATATATGGTGATGGTTTTTCTTTTTAATTTTGCAATTGCACTCTAATTTTATTACACTCGATTGCAACTCTATATTAAGAGATTTTTTAACATATTATTTTTATTATTTTTAACATTAATAGTATAATGGAAAAAATATAGGAATAAAATATAGAAATTTTAAACTGTATCTTTAGAAATTATAGTGCAATTGAATTTTTTTTCTTCTTTTAACATTTATATTAACTAATGCTTTAATACGCTTTGATCGCATTATGTGCTCTGTTGAGTTTGTTCAATCTGCTTGCACGTTTTATATATATACAAAATTAATATATAAAAGATTGTCAATCAATCTAAAAAGTTAAAAATACGGTAAGTTTATATTCATTTATAATTTTATTATGTATTAAACTTACATATTTTTCTCTTTTTTTTTCCCTTTTTCCTTGATTTCATTTGCAGATATTTTATTGATAATATTGATTATTTCACAGTGCCTGTCACAGCCAATATAACGATAGGACAAAATCAGTTCCCAGAGGGTAGTGACGTTAATATCGCTTGCCATGTCGATGGTTATCCGATTCCTCGAGTATCTTGGTATAAGGATAATGAAATAATTCATCCGAACAATCGAATTCAAATTACTGGTAAGCATATATTTTACATAATTAAATAAATAATTTAAATTAACTTAAAAGTTAGAAATAAGCGAAAGAGATAGTTAAAAAACTTTTTTTAATTTTAATTTTAGAAGTGAACAGACTCGTAATCAGTGATGCGAATCGAGAAGATTCAGGAAGATATCGTTGCGAAGCAAGTAATGATTATTCGTCTGCTTCTACTATGGTGGATATACAAGTTGCTGGTAAATTCTTATATTTAATATAAAATTAATTTTATTAGAAAATAGAGTATTAAATTCCATAAAGTTTAAGAAAATTATTAATCACTTTAATATTTTGATTGATAATGCACAATTAAATCTATTAAAATTTGAATATGTAAAGTCACTTTTACAAATTCACTTTTAGAAATAAAACAAAAATAAATAAATAAGAGATTAAAAGTAACAATCAAATTTCTACAAAACAAATAAAAATATAAGAAATTGTTTTGAAATTTTTGTTAAAATGTTCGTCTCTTTTCAGGAATCTTTATTCATCCGAACTGCCAAGATAATTCATTCTTCGCTAAATGCGATTTGATCGTTAAAGCAAAGTATTGTACGCACAAATATTATGCGAAGTTCTGTTGTCGATCCTGTACCGAGGCTGGTCAGCTTCCTTCCAGAGGTCCTCACTTAAATAGTTCGAAAAGGAGGCGAAGATACATTCTGAAGAGCCTCGTCTAAGAACCCTTCTTCGATTTCTTCCGGTTAGCCCGACGAACAAAGCAAAGAGCAACAGTTACGATCAGGCAAATATCGGCTCTTAATGCATAATTTTGATTATTAATTAGATAAATGAAAGAAACGATGACGAGATTTAAAAGTGATCATTCGATTCGACACACTTGTCTATCTCGATGGTGTGCCGTGTAAACGTGACGTTAATTCACTGCCAAAGCCTTAGAACGTCTATACATAGATACATTTAATATATAAATTAAGCAACAGCGAGGCGGAAGAACATGAAGATGAGTCGCATAATGTAATGATTCTTTTTTCGTTGATGTTTAATTATATTTCTCCGTATATCTTTGTTTCAAAGTCGTCATCGTCGTTGTCGTTTTATGTATGTATATACGATCTGACGCTGGAATCCTAGTCGGTCGAAGCCATATTAGGACAGGAATGATCGCTGTCCACCAGAAAGCGTCTCGAGATTGGATACCCGATCGATGCTATTTTGCTTTTCTTTTCCTTTTCCTTTCCGTTCGAATCGCGTTCGAATCGTTGGATATCTAAGTGAGAGTCATATGGAATTATATAATGAAATATGATAATTAAAAGCTGGAATATTTGATAAAAATATCGTCAAGAAAAAAATTTATTGGGAAGAAAATGAGATAATTCTTTAATTTAAAGTAAACTTGAATTTTCTAAATTATTATAAATTTTTCTGTTATAAAAATCTTTTGCAATGATGATATATTTTTTTGAATTTTGATTAAATTATCTATGAAGAAAAGATAAATAATCAAATGATGGATCCACACAATGATGAGATCTATCGATCAATTTGTAAATGTAACATGAAAGATACATAAAAATTTAATCGTGTTAAGGGGAACAAAAGGACAAGTCAAAAGTCAATTGTAATTTTTCTTTTTCTTTTTTTTTTTTTTTCGTGTGATCGAAACAAGAAGGAGAGAGGCGATAGAGAATGGAAGTGGGAGAGGGAACCTGTACCTATTTGTATGAAGCATATACGTATAAGTATGAAACGTTACGTTGTATAATATAAATAGTTTATTATGCAGTATGCCATTTATATACTCTATAATATTGTTATTACTTATTCCTTATTCGATATTATTGCCATAGCATGAATTAGTCCTTTGTCACGATTGAACGATACTTATGATATATCATAGCGACGATTGGTAATGTGAAGGTGCAACATCGTGACGACGATCTTGATTTGTCAGATGGTCTATAACAAATGAAAAAATTAAGAAAGAATTGATTTAGATAAAATATTGAGACCTTGTTTCTCTTTATTTTTATAATTTTTATAATTTTATTCGATTATATTTTAATAATTATATAATAATTATTAAACCTTGCAATTATAAAAATCTAAAATTATAATTTTAGAGAATTTTATTTAAGAAGCTTGTTAAAAAAAGAATTAACTCATTGAAAGTTGAATAATAATGTACAAGTATTCAATCACGATACGCACCTTCTTTCACTATATTAACATGTTGCATTTATATATTTGTTCCTGAACATTTTAATCGTAATGTTAACTACATACTGTTACTATATACTGTATCATCTATAGTGATTTCTTGGCATTCGAAAATGAGAGCATACATTATATATCCCATTTTCTTAATGTTAATCTAAAACTTATCAAAATTTCGCTTTCTTCACAATTTTTTCAAATATTTTATATAAAATAATATATTTCTTCCTTGTTTAATATATTATTTAACAAAAAAAAATGTGAAATTTAACTATTTCAAACGAAGGATCATAATTATTAAAGATATAAATGAGATAGAATTAAGATAATTAAGAAATAATTTATGCTTTTAATTTCGAATTGCTGCAGAAATATCAGTAGCTCGTAGCGTATCAAAATTCCGAAGGAAAAGGTACCAAAAGCATTTATAATTATACATAATATATATATATATATATTATTATACATATATTGTAAATGTAAGTTTTACTCGATGATGGAAAGAATCCACGGAACCGTAGGAAAAGACATTCTTCTTTCGTCTGATTGTTTCAGTCACAGTAAATGACAGTGCCTTATTAGAAAGCTCTTCGAAAGTGTCGGGGAAGGAGTGCTAAATAGAACTTTACATACAGAATATCGTTAGTGTAAATACAAAACGTAGTGTACGCGATGCAAAATGAATTGAATTTCAATCAGAAATTTATTAAATAGTCACTAAAAAGATATTAAATGATCGTACCAAAGTATCAAATAAGAATTCCTCCGATTTTTATATTTTCTTATCTAATCAAGATTATTGTATTTCTTTTTAATTGTATGTTAATTATATAGAATCTATGAAGTTGTAAAATGAAGTTGTAAAATTGCGACAATCACAGTATTTCATTAGAAAGAAAAGAAGAAAAAGAAAAAGAAAAGCACATATCGAGACTTTGATAAACAAATTTTTTTATTTTAACGAAAATATAATAATCATTTGTGATGCATTTGATTGTTTCTTTAATTTATCCGGAGGAATCGTAGAAAAGAAGAAAAAAGGAAAGAAAGAAGGAAGAATGAAAGAATATTGAGTACTCTTCTCCTCCGTACTCCTTTAGATATGACCAAACTAGACATGACATGATTGTAATAACTAAACTGTGGATATTTATGTATTCATTAAAATTTTAATATAAAAGATATATATTTGAAAATATAGAAAATATCCAAAATAGAATTTTTAGAGCGAATTAAATATGTGCTATCCATAGATTTATCCTTTTTCTCGCTTTAAATTTAAATATTTTATATTATATTATGACAATGTTATAAAAATCTTACTTAAAAAATTTCGTACAATTTAATTTGAACATTGGAGATCATTTTGTGATATATAGATAATTAATTTAATATTGCCGTATATACAAAATTTTCCATTTTTCCAAATTGTATTCCAAACACAATTAATTTATACACTTCTATATTTTCCTTTTCATGAAAATGAAATATGAATTTGCATAAAAATCCTCAGTCTAGTGATGAACGTAGTAACACAATATTATTTAGTACATGTATAAATAGTTCTCGTAGTTTTTAACGGGCATGTATGTACCTATGCACTGATTGCATATCGGTAAAAAGTAAAAAAGGGAAAAAAAAAAAAATAAGTAACATAGAAAGAATATATCATCTTTGTTACGTGAAATAATATCGAAAAGAAAGAGAAAGAAAAAAAAAGAATATTTGAGCGAGCGCAGTTTTGGTAGATTCTCTCTATTCTATAGTAAATAATTTATATTTCTACCGTGTGATTTTTAAGTCTGTACAATGACCACACATACACATACACATACGCGCGCCCGCGCAAGCACGCATTCATTTACACGTTACACATTAATGATGTATATAATTACCGCTATATTACGTAATATACTCGTTTTAATCGACCTATTATCAACTACTGGATACTCCTCTTGAAGACACTTTGTAGAAATGATCGTGACAGTTGATTCGTCGATTTTTTGATCGATTTTATAAAAATCGATGCGTTTTTCTAACTTGTGAAAGTAGTTTTTCTAATAATAATATTACCCGATAGTGATGTTTAGAATGGCTATGATAGTTGTAACGATATTATAATCAAAAGATTTAAGGTAATGTAATACAGCGTTTTTCAATTTTTAATTAATTTTAATTATATCACGCGAAACTTTGTGAATCTAGTTTAGGAAATATATTACAAAAGTAGGATGTCTTTCAATATTAATCATTTTTAAATTTATTATTTTCTTAATTCTATATTTTATATTTCTGAGAGAGATAGCATCAGAAAGTTTCTTTTGTTTTTACATAAGATAAAGTTAAGGTAGAAGCATGGAACGTACCTCGCGTAGAATCAACAGAAATTTTTTCGAAATTTTTAATTCTTATATAGACTTAAAAACAAGAGAGAGAAATTTTTAAACGAATCAACTTCCTTCACGATTGTTCCTACGAATATACCGACAAAGGATTTGGAGCATAGTTAACGTGAAAATGGTAAATAAGTAAATTAACCAAAAGAAAAAAAAAAGGAATGGAGAAATATCTGAGAAAAATATTCGTGTCTCCAGTGTATTATCTATACATGCATATAGCTCACACATCGCGACAGTGGTGAAGATTTTAGTGAGTGTATTTGTAATTGTAAGTTATACCTTTAGATAATGATTTAATATAATATAAATATATAATTATATAAAATAAAGGTAGACTTAAAGGAATGCCACTATACAAACATTGTATGGACAATAATAATAATATAAGATCCTTAAAATATATGATTAAATAATGATCAGTATGATTATATTATTCTTATCAGAGAAATTTTATTACATTCATCGTATCGTTATACAATTATTTTTTTCTAACGATCTTTCTAACAATTATTCTAATATTTTATTATTATCATATCCATTATTAATTTAATAATCAAAAATATTAATTAACTATTAATTTAACTATTAAATCTAACTGATTTAACTATGTTTATTTATTGCTATATTTCTTTTTCACAAATGTGGCATATCTTTTTTATCCTCAACGCGAGAAGTATCTCGCATAAGATAACGTTTATGTTGTTCCTCGATCACTACAGCCCTCTCGATCCTTTCTGTCGCAATACTTTCGATCGTTGCAAACAGTTCTGAATGTACGGCAATACATTTTCGAAAATCCTTACGATTTAAACGATACACTTCACATACTTCGATTGCAATCACGCTCGCGACTCTTCTTTGATCGGGAACCAAAAGTGCTATTTCTCCGAAATGTGCTCCATCGTCCAAGTGACATATCTACATCAAATTGAAATTAATTTTAAATTAATTTAAAACGTCCTTCTCTTTTAAAATATAAAAATCCAATTATTTCAAATAAAATGTTAAGTGTTTCAGATATTAAATGTCTATTATTTAATTTTAATTTAAAAAAAAAATAACATAATAAATTAATAAATTGTTAATAATTAATCCAGAAAATAGGAAATCCCTAGAATCCCTTTTTTTTTCAAGTCAATTCCAATCCGAAAATATATTTAACTATTTTTTCAAAAAAAAATTTTTCCTTAATAATTATCAATTTCTTAATATCAATTTTCCTTAATAATTAATAACTGATAGTAAGAAGTCTATTCTTTAAAATGCATTTTGTTTCAGATTGATATTTCGACCCGTTTTGAAAATACAGCGATATAAAACGACATGTTCGAATTGTGGAAAATTATGAATGAAAGAAATCCACGTGACCTATTTACTCGCGCGTACGCGCGTAGTAAAAAAAACTTGCTTACTCATCGTACGTGACCAGCGCACATGAGGTAGGTCAGTGAACGCGCGTGCGAGCAAGAGGTCCGAGTGTGCAAAAAGGACAGCGATAGTGAAATTATCGTCTATTTTAAACGGATATATCTTGAAAACGAAAAATGATAGAAAGAAAAATGAAAAAGCGTTTAAAAAAAGAAGATTCCATCTTTCTGATGTATTAAGAAAAACTAGATTCGGAATAATAGAAATATTTTTATTTAAAAAGAAAATTGAAACGAGACTATAATTTTATTAATTCTACAATAACAATGAAGATATTTTCTTATTGATATGAGATTCGATTAGGAAGTAATTAAAAGTATTTTTGGAAGGAAAGATTAATACAAGATTAATGATTTGAATGTTTAATATATCAAATTATAAGAAATTGAAGTTTGGAATTGATTTTTGATCGAATAATGTTTTAAGATCAAAAGTAATACCTCTTTTCCAGTAGGTGTTAACACAGCAACGGTTCCAGCAGACAGGAAGAACATGCAATCGCCATGGGCGCCTGCTTTCACGATCACGTCGTTCGGTAGATAAAGCTCGAATTTTAAATTCTTCACGATGTTACGCAAAATAGTTTTGGGTAAATTTTTGAACATCGACACATTTTCGACTAAACGATGGCATGATTCAAGTGCAATTTCTTGACGCAAATATTCTAAATCAAATATTGAAATATTGATCACCGGGAGAAAAATATAGGGAATCTTAATATTAGAGATTTCGTTACCTGATAGAGTGAGCATAATAGTTTTCTCGCGAAAATAATTTTTTCTGAAACGATGATAGTAATAAGCTACGAGACGGATCTTTATGTGTTTCGGCAATTGTTTTTGGTTTACATAAGCAAGCACTTGGTTTATTATCTCTTGAAACTTCGATATGGGTTCTTTTATTGCCATTCTCACACGAATGATCATCACTAAAATAGAAATTTAAAATATATTTAATTTATATTTATTTTTACCAATTTTAATTCATTAACGTTATTTTCAATAGGGAAATAAACAAATAAACAAAAAGGCATATTAAAATCTATCTTGAATAATATAAAATCTTGAAGGAGATTTACCTGCAATATAGAACTCGAGTAGTCTACCGATAAGGAGAAGAATGCAATTCAGTATTATATGATCATCCGTGTATGGCACGAAATGACCATAACCAGCCGCTGATATTTGATCTACGACTATAAAAAGCGCGCATCGAAATCTGAATGTTTTCGAATCGTTTTCCAATCCTATCATCCAACATTCAGAACACATCTACGAAATGTGATTTTTATTTAATTATGATTATGAGATCCTTTAATATGAAAAAATTATGAAGATGATTATGTAAAAATTGACACAAAAATAATATACACAAATAAATTTAAAGCAATATAAGGGGATAAGAAATATATGGAAAATAAAACATAATGAACAAAATAATATATAATATATCATAAACAAGATATGCTTATATTTATTAAAATTTAAGTTTAATCAAAATCTTATCGTTTCTATCGTTTTTCCTACAATCTTACTTTGGCTTCGGTTTTAGTGAAGTGAAAAGTTAGCACTGGTATTAAATAATACAGACACGCGAACCAATATATTATAAAAATTGCCATCATAAGCGTGCTAAATAATTCATAGGCGTAATGTTTGACTTCAAAATGCTAAAATATAAGCATATAAAAGAAGTATATATAAATAAGTATATAAGACAGAATATTTATATTATATTTATATTGTTTAACTTCTTTTAAATTTAAAAAGAAGAAAAAATATTACGATAAATAATTCAAAGATTTGTGCATCGACATAGCCATAACGAATTAACTTCAAACAAGGAAGGATATTGATCAAATAAATAAAAAATTGAGTATTTTCTCCGGGTAATTTGCGCCAACGCAAAGTTATATGATCCCATGGTAACGAAGATAGAATATCAAATATCAGGAAAGTTTTTAAATAATGTCTATGGAAATAAAAATTACATTTTATTAAAATATGTAAATATTAATAAATATATATATATTTTTAATATTATTTTTAAAAAAAGTTTTAATATGAAAATTGACTAATTTTGAGTCATTACTTTAAAAGTTAGAAATTTAATATTCACGTATTAAAAAATATCGATTAATAAAATTAATCTAAAGTTAATTTTAAATCTTTCAAACATATTTTTTTTATTTTGGGAAAACAATTCCTAGATAATTTTCATTTTTCACTTTAAATCGTTCAATTTTCATCTTAAATATTTTCTAAGATCGAATATTAATATTAAAATTAGTAAATTTTGTAATTTTAATTACAAAAATATCTTCAAAGGATTTAATTCGACAGACATTTCATATTTATCGTAATATCCAGTAAAACAATTCATTATTATATCGATCCAACAAAAACCGTAAATCAGCAAATTGAATTTATCCAATCCAATATCATCGTGGCTCATTATAATAAAAGAAACTGAGAATGGGATTGAAATGAATGAGATAATGTATACCACTGTCATTATCAAATCCCAGAAAAATCTGAAAAATTGCTTAAATGCAAATAGTATCTGTTTAATCACCTTTAAAAAACAGTTTTAATATATTTCTTGATTTTTATTTTTCTTTCAAAATTAAATACCTGCAATTGCTAAACGGATGAATAATCCACCAATATTTAAACATACTGTGCCTTCGTTTTTCATTAGCGATACTCGCCATGCTATCGAAATACTTTTTTGCTCTCGGTGTCTTTTTGCTGATTTGACTTATAAAACCCCATCTTTCTTTAAGGGTCAATTTCTTGTCATTGTCTTCTATTTTCAATGTACACACATGCTCCAACATAATGGAATTTCTCTGTTTGCTCTATTCTATCTTTAATCTGTTTAATTAAAATTATGAAATTTAAAAATATGAAAACTAAAAAATTGGGAATATGACAATTTAAAATTTGAAATCTGGAAATTAACAGTCTATAATAAAATCTGTAATAAAATTTTAAGATTTTTGAAACTTGTAACATAACATTTGAAATTAATTTAGAAATTTGATATTTAAAATCTGAAAGCTAACATCAGAAATTTACATTTCTGAATTTTTTAATTTATTTTAAAAGTTGAAATTATATAAGTTTTATATTTAATATCACTATTAGATAATGCTAATGTATTATCTTAATATAAACTGATATAAATTTACTTCAATAGTTCTTCGTTTCTATTTCAATTCAGCTTTTTCCTTCTTTAAATCTGACATATTTTCACATATTTTGTCAAGTGAAATTTGTCAATTGTTATATTATTCGTAACTAATCGTAACTAAGCAGGGAAAAGATAAAAACGAACAATGAAATAGTGAACTGTTGTTTATTAAAAAACTGTCGATGATAAAAAATATACCCAATCCTGTGTCGCCCTTATAATACGACGAACGCCTATAAACTAAGGTACATGTATACAAACGAGTGCGCACTATTGTTTTATCTTGTGCATGCCACTGTGATAATGTACCATTCAACAACGATTTTCATCTTGGTTTTCTGGTGAACGAACATAACAGCTTTTTGTGCGTGTGTCGATCGCTCGGCTCGATTATCGATAATTGACAAAAACGAAACGTGAATTTTGAGAATTAATATAGTCTTTGTATACCGGTGACTGTGAATTCGAATCAATAAAAAGAAAATATTTTCAAATTTTTTTTTAACCTCCAATCAGTTTGATCGCTACACATTGTAGCTCTTGGTCGTAATTCTTCTCTCATAATAATTTAACATTGGATTAAAATAATTATTTGAAAATAATCTAATTTTAAAATATTATAGAAATAAACTTCAAAATTTTTCCTAAAATATCAATATCTTTGAAACTAAATTTTTTAATCATTTAAAATATCTAGGAACCATTCTACAGTTATTCGAATCTTAACAATATGTAATTTAATTATATAAATATTCATTAATTTAATACTTTTAAATTTAAAAATATAAAGACTTATGATATAAAAACTTATAATTAAGATAAATAAAAAATATATGATAATTTTCAACATTTTGGAGGATTAAAAGAAACCTCTGGATAAATTTTCTATTAAAAAAGTAATAGTTAGCTAGTTTAATTTAACTTCAACTATCAGTCTTCCCGGATATTTCTCTCTATCATTTGATATACATTCTAATATTAGTTTTAAAAAATACGACATTATGGTGCGTTTTTTGCGCCGTGAGCATAATAAATATCATTCGAATTTCGATCGTAAAAAAATCAATCTAATTTACAATCTTATTAAATTAATAACATGTATGAATAAATATGTATATGTAAATAATATTGATTAATTTACGATCGTAACTTTTTTACAAAATCATGCTACTTTCTAAATATCGACTTCTCTTTTGTCAATTTATATATAGATTTATCGTTTACCATGACTTTCGTATTTACGTTTACTAATATACAAACATCGAGTCGTATATATACGTTTAACAATCACGTTACGAAGCTTGGATATTGTTTATATTTTATACATAACAATATCCGAGTTTTTCATTCTTTTTTTACTTTTATAAAGCGGGATTATTTTGTCTTTTACGAGGATTGCTTTGTATTTAAAATATTATGTTAAGATTTAACAACATTTTTCATTGAATTCTATTTAAAATGTTTTATATTATACGCGACACAATAATATCAAACATCTATAAAGAAAAATATAATAAATTAAACAATTTTTAAAAAAATGAAATTTTATAATTTTATATTTTTAAAAATATATTTTGAGCAATGGTTATTTCATAGTCATCATGTTAAAAATTCAATAATAAAAAATAATAAAATAATAATAGAAAATCTAATTATCAAGTAAAGTGTTAATTATAAAGCAATCCTCCAATTTCAATTTTTAATAACTTTCACATTGCGACTAATCTATAATTCTCGTCATTCTTATAATTATCCAATAAATACGACACAATATGAATTCGGTTCAAAATTTGATATCAATGGTACGATACGAAATGTACGAAATCGTTACAAAATCGTTTACAAACGATCCAACATCCTCTTCTCCGTTTCTACGTCTAATGATAGTATTACAATATGAGCCGAATAATTATTTTTCGTACTCGAAACATACTTCACTGTTTCTCATTAAAATCTTTTCAAAAATCGATGACTGAGCGCGAACAAGTCCTCAAATGTCTTAAGTGTCCTAAGAACACAATTTTAAATATCGGTCCAATTTGAATCATCTTTCAAAAATTCCATTAAAATTCCGATTATAAAATTATTTCCATCTTCATTCTATTCTTCGACACAGACCATTTCCATGTGTTCACATCTATTTTGAGTCGATTTATTATACATCGATACCAAGCAGTTCTCTGCTATCAGCTCTCGATAATCGACGACGTAAGCTGCGACGACGAAACTCCTTCCATCAGACTGATGCGCGTTTCACGCGAATGCTCGAGGTCGAAGGAGGTCTGTATCCTTGGTAACCTTGGTCTAGAAGCTCGGTATTGGGTGGTCCTAAACAGGTGCACGAGCATACGCTCACGCAGTCATCTGTATCATGAACTATAGGCACGTGGCTGGCTAATATTTTTCCATTCACTGCAACCACCTCGCCATCCAGTGTTAAAACGTGATGAGAAGCCGGTTGAAGTTCGTTGTCTTCGCGACGAACATCACCTGTGTTCCTGTTAGATGAAGGAGAATAATTATAAATTTAAAAATTTTATGAATAATTAGAGTTGATGATTAATCAAATGATATACTGATTCTATGTAATATTAATATGATTATTAATATAATATAAAAAAAAATGTTAAGCAGGATTTTTTAAGAAATATATTAAAATATAAGAGTTTTATAAAGATCATTAATTATATAGATTATTAAAAATCATTATTAAGTTATTTTTATGCAAATATAATTAATTATTTATATTTATCGATGTGATTTAAAACAGAAAGAAGATATAATGGAGGTATATAGTATATGTGCCCTTTGAAATTCATAAACGTTTACTTACATTGTCATAAAACGAAGTACAAGCAAGTTTATACTGGCAGCAACGACGGCCAGGCCAAATAGGATAAAAACTAAGCTTAAGGCCACGTATCCAGGTTTATTAGAAAGTGCATGATCATTCTGAAACGATAAATCAAACATATATTAATAAAAAATTTTTTTATTGATATAATACTAGTTATAAAAATCTAATATTACTAAATAAATTAAAAGATAGAAATATAAATGAAAAAAAATAATTTTTTAATTTTTGATATTAAATTTGTAAATATACCTGTAATGCGACATAATCGCCAAAACCAATGGTAGTTAGTGTAACGAAACAATAATAAAAGCTATCGAAGTAACTCCATCCCTCATAACGCGAAAACACAGCCGCTCCAGTCGTGATAATTATGCTCGAGAGTAAACCAGTGGCGAGCATTAGATTCATCTCAGTCGCTTCTGTTTTCTTACATCTCATGTAAGTTTTCGCCCGCTTGATTACTACCGAGGCGAATTTATTTAAACGTTCACCGATACTTTGGAACATTACCAGACCCAGAGGAATGCCCACCATGGCGTACGCCATACAGAACGCTTTACCTCCTATGGTGACTGGCGTCGAGTGTCCGTAACCTCGAAATTTTATAGAGAATTGTTAAATAATGAGTATCATAAATGAAATGTTCAGTGAATAATTCTCTATATTTTTTTACATTAAATTATTTATCATTTATTTTTTATTTTTTAAGAAAATATATAAATCAATTATTTTAATTGAAAGTTTTAAGAATAATTTAATGTAATGTTAATATAGAATGTTATTTATTTCTCTCAATATAATGCTAATTTATTCAAAGAAATTAACATTTTGTTTTTAATTTTATAAATACATGTACATTATTAATTTCAAGGTTGAAACTTGATATTGATTATCTACGATATATATGTTCATCTTTGTATAACAATATATAATAGTAAATACTATGAAAAATATTATTTACCTATCATAGCGAGTACAAGGGTGGCGAAATAAAAGGCACCAGCGAATTTCCACTGAGGACCTGCTTTGTGCGGTTTGTTTTCTATTATTACGATCTCCAACATTCTGTAATCCTCCTGCGTGATATTGTATTTCTTCATCATGTTCCGACGAACCTCTACAATCATTAATATAAATGAAAAATTGTTTGAAAAATTCTTTCTAAAAGTTAATTATTCATATATTTTAAAAATATTTTGTAAATATTACTAGATATTTATATGTTGTTTTGTTAATTTATACGAATGTTTCCCATACTGTCATTTTTAATTAAGTTGTTTTTATAATAAATATTGAGAGCCTCATAATTTTCTTCTTTATTTGTATCCCTTAGTTCCTAACATTATATATTCTCTCGAACTTAATAATTCACGAATATAAATATTAAATCTACATTATCTTATACAGGGTAGTTTTATTATTCAATTTCTTATTAGTGAAAATTAAAAATTATCTTCAATTTTTATCATCGATACTTTTTTATTAATTTCTTTTAATCGCAACATACTCATGCATTCACAGATGAAACTTAACAATCGAAACAATAACTTACCCGAAAGAAACTCCCACCGTTTCCTTTCCGTGTTCGACTCTAACGCATCAAATACCGCGGCACCAATTAATAAATACGTGAATGTGCACACTACCAATGATAAAGTTCTAACATTCTGTCTCTTCATTTTCACTCAATCCTCCAACAATGAAAATTAATCCGTGTTGAACAGCCACAAGATCCGGCACACCTCGCAACGATCTGTCACGTTTCGTCCTTCCTATTCGCTCATCAACACGAACACGCGTTGCGTGTCGTTCATGATTCTTGAAAATTTGAAGGAATGATCACAGACATCTTTCTCTCTTTTTTTCTATTTTTTCAGTGCTATCGATTAATCAATGACATATTATTGATAATATTCAAAGAGAAATGAGACGATTATACGAAAGATAGTAGCCACAATTCGACTCGACACACGACTGGAGAGAAGTATTGATTAAATTCAAGAACGCGGTAAACTCCATAGAAACGTGGCCAGTGGTAGTACGACAAGACTGACTATCGGTAAGAATGATTTGTAATTTTGATTTTGGTGATAGATATGAGTGGTAAAGTAGATAAGATTTAGTAACTAGTTAAAGTAGATTTATTAAAATTAAAAAAAATATGAAAAAAACAATTCGATAATATTCAATAAAAAATAGTTGTTATATAATTGTGAAAAGTAAATATAAAATTTAGTAAGTACGAAAATAATAAGCATTCGCAGTATATAAAATTTTATGTTTTTGAAAATATTAAAGAAAACTTTTTGTACTATATATATTGTTAAGTTATATTCTTTTAATATAAAATCGAAAATTTGATCGAAAAATTCTACGCTTAGAATTTCTGAAAAGATTTCGTATGCCATCTATTGTCAAATTATATATTCTTTTAATATAAAATATAATTATATATTTAATATAATTTAATATAATTATATATTCTTTTAATATAAATTTCTGATCAAATTTTTGATCTAATCAAAATTTCTGATAGCAAAAATTTAAAATTAAGAGAATATAATTTGATAAGAGATAGCACAAATTTTTTTGAAATTTTAATTACTTTTAACACTTATTTTTTTCATACTTATCTCTTTAAATTGATACAATGGCAGAGACTCTTGTTCATTATTTTTTCATCAATATTTTTTCATAATATTGCAATTATTGCTAGTGATATTTATTTTTTATTTATCTTTTTATAATTATTTATTTTAATATTACATTTTAATATTATTAGGAATTTTTATTTCTTATCTTTTTTCATCATTCTATTTAATTCTAATTATAATGATAATTAAAATAATAATTAGAATTATAATATATTAACATATTTCATACTTATCTCTCATATTATTAACGTTTTATATTTATATTTGATACTCTTTTCTTTTTCTTCTCTTTATTACAAAGAAAGACATTTTTGACACTCTATACTATTCTATAGACTAAGTATAGACAAGGACAACACACAATAAAAGAAGGACAGAGATAGTGTAAAACTACAAGCATCAGCGCCATCTTCAGAGTGCCGCAAATGAAACATAGAAAAAAAGGATAGCAATACTTAGAAAAAAGATAGAAATAGAGAATTAATCGCTAGCACCATCTTTCAAATATTAAAGAAACTTTAAATTGAGCAATTTTCAAAGAGATGGCGCCACGAATCGGTGCAAACAAGTGGCGCCATCACTCGCAGACAAAAGGAACCTTAACTTGAGCAATTTTCGAAGAGATGGCGCCACGAGTCGGTGCAAGCAAGTGGCGCCATCAGTCGCAGACAAAAGGAACCTTAACTTGAGCACTTTTCGAAGAGATGGCGCCACGAGTCGGTGCAAACAAGTGGCGCCATCACTCGAAGACAAAAGGAACCTTAACTTGAGCAATTTCCGAAGAGATGGCGCCATGAGTCGGTACAAGCAAGTGGCGCCATCACTCGCAGACAACAGGAACCTTAACTTGAGCAATTTTCGAAGAGATGGCGCCACGAGTTGGTACAAGCAAGTGGCGCCATCACTCGCAGACAAAAGGAACCTTAACTTGAGCAATTTTCGAAGAGATGGCGCCACGAGTCGGTACAAGCAAGTGGCGCCATCACTCGTAGACAAAAGGAACCTTAACTTGAGCACTTTTCGAAGAGATGGCGCCACGAGTCGGTGCAAACAAGTGGCGCCATCACTCGCCAACCAAAGGAACCTTAACTTGAACACTTTACGAAGAGATGGCGCCACGAGTCGGTCCAAGCATGTGGCGCCATCTTTCGTCGATTAGGAGAACTTTAATTTCATCATATTTTCGGAAGATGGCGCAAAGGGCTAATGTTTAGTCTATTTCTATCCTTTTCTACTATTTGCTATCCTTCTTTTTTGTGTTTGCTTTACGCCAAACTACAGATGGTGCTGATTTTCATATTTTTAATCTCTCTGTCCTTCTCGCACTTATTGCTTTTCTTGTCTCTATTTGATTTGATTATAATTGTAGTTATTGTTGTTATAATTGCAATTATTAACAGTAAATATAAATTATAACAATAAATATAGATACTTATAATGGCTTTTGAAAAATATCTATGGTATTTTTAATGAAGAAAAAAATAAAAGAGATAATGATTTATATATTTTTATATGTGATATATATGTGTCATGTATATGAAAGTTAAAGAAAATATTTGTATTGTTAAAAAAATTTTTTATTATTTATAATAAATATAATAAAACTATATTAATCTTAAATTATCGGTATTTCAGAACATAAACTTGTATAATATATTTAGGATTCTGCATATATTATATTTTACATGACAAGAATTATATAGACAAAAAGAACCTTAACTTGAGCACTTTTCGAAGAGATGGCGCCACGAGTCGGTGCAACAAGTGGCGCCATCACTCGCCAACCAAAGGAACCTTAACTTGAACACTTTACGAAGAGATGGCGCCACGAGTCGGTCCAAGCATGTGGCGCCATCTTTCGTCGATTAGGAGAACTTTAATTTCATCATATTTTCGGAAGATGGCGCAAAGGGCTAATGTTTAGTCTATTTCTATCCTTTTCTACTATTTGCTATCCTTCTTTTTTGTGTTTGCTTTACGCCAAACTACAGATGGTGCTGATTTTCATATTTTTAATCTCTCTGTCCTTCTCGCACTTATTGCTTTTCTTGTCTCTATTTGATTTGATTATAATTGTAGTTATTGTTGTTATAATTGCAATTATTAACAGTAAATATAAATTATAACAATAAATATAGATACTTATAATGGCTTTTGAAAAATATCTATGGTATTTTTAATGAAGAAAAAAAATAAAAGAGATAATGATTTATATATTTTTATATGTGATATATATGTGTCATGTATATGAAAGTTAAAGAAAATATTTGTATTGTTAAAAAAATTTTTTATTATTTATAATAAATATAATAAAACTATATTAATCTTAAATTATCGGTATTTCAGAACATAAACTTGTATAATATATTTAGGATTCTGCATATATTATATTTTACATGACAAGAATTATATTAATTAAATTCATTATATCCCATATGATGATCATTCTTTCAATCATTATAGAAAATTTTTTCTTGATTGAAAAAATTGACAAAAATACCTTTAAGCCTATTGAAGAAACTATATTGTTTAAATTGAACTTGCTACTCCACTATAGAGATTTACTTTAACTTCCTGAACTGTTTCATGCATAATCGAATTACTAACACTACTATGATCTAGTTTTACGACTAAATTTAACTTTATTGCTGCTTACGCAATTATTTGTTGGCTATAAACTGTTATTGTTTCCTTTGATCGTTTACTTTTACGATCATCACTCTATATATATTGAAAGGAAATGATAGAAATTATATATAGCACGCTTATTGATTAGTAATTTTTGAAAAAAATTATTAAAAAATCGTATGAAAAACAAAAAAGATATATATAAAAGAAAAAAATATTGTTTTACATCTTTACATAATACAATTCTACATTTCCATCTTTAACAATATCTTTAACGTAACTTTAAATACAATGTCGTAAGTTATTCAACCCCAACACGAAATTCCCTTGAAACCAGTCGTGGAAATAGACAAACGCGTAGGAATGAAGGAAAAATGCACAATAACGTTGGATCTGGGTTAAAGGTGAAAAAACTGCGAAGGCGTACAATTTTTCCAACGACAAGCATGATAAAAATTGGAAAAAGAATTTCACATTAAAACGAGTAGATTTAAGCTCGTACAAGTAGTAAAAGACAATTATGATCAGACAGATGGAAAGGGATAGCCTTTAAACGGTTAGAATAAAAATATACAAAATAAAATAAATCAATTGTGTCTGACGAATGACACGAGATTAAGTTAAAGACTAATAGAATCATAGTCAAAAAAATTATATAAAATTTATACAATACAAATGAGATTTTTTTCCAATATTCATCAATCGACGTATAACGTTCTAAATTTTGAATATTGATAAACTAAATTTTCTTCTATTTAAAAATGCATTAATATGATCATCGATCTTGAAATAATTTCTCAAGGCCATCTACGCTTGTTGGTCGCAAAACGATTCCATATTCACGCATTTCAGAATTTTAATATGATTAGACGTCTTAAAAGAAGACATTTACAAGTTGTGAATGGCGAAAACAGAGAGTCTATATACATTATAACTAGCCTCTTATATAGGAGAATTTATATATTGAAAAACGAGGGCCAAGAATGAAGATACTTCGAAGTGAACATTGCAAAAGTTATTCTCCTTTGTGCTACTCCTGAATATTTTGAAAATTTACAATCGCTTCTTCTTTATTGGAAAAGTCGAACTCTGTCTAAAACTTTTGAAACAATAAACTAAGAGAAACTTGCTTCCACGAAGGGAAAACTTGGAAAAATAACACAATGGTACATGTGCACTTATCACGTATAGGCCATAAATTATTGATATCTCAGAATATTCATAATTGAGTAAATATTTCTTATATTTATTTCATGTTATATTCTAAATTATCTGAAAATAGTAAAAGAGAATTTTATCGAAAAAAATGAAAGATATTTAGCTAAAATATTTAATTGAAGCGCAATTGACAAATATTTGGTTTACCATGTAGTAGCCAAACAAAATTCATTCTTTTGGGATCACTGATATTTTCTTAACCTTTCACTGAATCGTCGAATCATCAATATTTTTCTAAACTTTCATCCAGCTGTCACGTCATGCTTATTTTTCTCAATTTTTACTATATTACACCCTTTATATTTTACGTGCACTAAATCTTCCAATAATAATTTTATTACTAATTCTAAATTAATAGATCTTTCTTATTAAACAAAAAAATAATAATAATAAAAATATCTAGATAAGAAAATGTAAAATGTTTCCTTCAATTTTTATCTTCCTTCGATATCAAAATCGAATTCATCAATGATGAATTTCACTTCTTATTTCACTCAGTGCTTGTAGTTTGTATCTTAACAACAAATATTCCAATCTAAATTTGTATAAGAACCTTAACTTCGTCACATTAATTTTCCTACACGTTTCACATTTAATAAATATCCTTCTCACTTTTACCCGTCACTTTTTACCCATTGTTTCACCCAAGACCATCAATCCTTTGCGTAAAATCATCTCATTATCCTCCTCTTTCCAACTACACAACTTATAACAAAAGGAAACAAGTATTTAACGCTCCAAAAACTCCATCAAACTTCCTCCAAACCGGCCAACTTTCCAGTTACTATTCCACTTACTGGAACAAACAATCACTTTTAACGCTTAAGTAATTATAATTTCCAACCCTTTGTACGTAATACAAAAAACGGGCTCGTCTTCGTGGATCGAGGACATTTTTTTTTTTCAACGATTGCACCCTCGAATATCCAAGGCATTCGTATACGAATCGATGCTTCGAGCCCCATTATTTGCATGCAGATGCTATCCCAGACGAGTGATCCTGTTTGCACGAGCGAACCGATAACGAACGTTTCCGCTTATATCGCTAATAACGAACGGGGCTGGTACAAGGTGAAGTGGAGAGAAAATTACCAGGTGTTCCGCCGATAGTTAAACGTATTGCCTTATTTCAGGAAAACTGCAACCTTCTTCGATCCTTGCTTGAAATTCCCCTTGAACGTTATGTGCTTCGAACGAAAATACCAAAGAGTTGTATTTGTGAGGCCTCTCGACAAGTTTTTCTTTCAATCAAAATCACGTGGAAACCTGGAACAAGGAGCTACGTTAGAATTTTTCTTATCCGGAGAATTGCTTAAATTGAAAATAAAAGTAGAGGGATTCGTTTATTTATATTTGTTATAAAATTAATTTGGAATCAGTGTTAAAATTAACTAAAGATTCGACGAAGAATGAGATAAAAAATTAGTCTCTTTAATTTTTCGTTTGCTCTTTCTCTTTTTCACTATACTTTGTTAATTGAAGAATGAAGAATGGAAGGCAAAGAAAAATTTTATATATATATATATATAATCTGTTGTTTCACGTGGAGAAGTGATTAAACTTTAATATTAGTTGGTTAACCGAGAACAATAGGAATTATAACTTCGAGAGAAATCGATATCCCATTAATCGATGGGAATATAGAAACTTCTGTTAGATTATATTTTTACTGCGGATATATACTCTGTATATAGTCGAGGATAAACATGGTTTTTAACCAAGCGGTATTTTTAACACGGTTGTAAGTGGATCGTGAGACGTAGACAGTTATAAAAAAAAAAAAAAAAAGACTGCAAGTTAAAAATATCTTATTTAATATCAGATTTATCGAAAAATTCTGCCCTTTAAATTTTCCTTGTATTTTGTACCCTGAAATTAATACGATTGAAAAAGAATTATGAAAATATTATTCGTTCCAATTAAATTTGACAACTATATTACAATATTTAGACATTGTAAAATGAACTTTTATCTTTTTCAATCATTATCTCGACGAGTCAAATCGAAAAAGATACTTCAGTTCCACATCTTTTCATCTATTCTAAATTCAGAATATATCTCTTTCTGTATCAATGAAAATTATCAATGAAAATAAAGTGTCAACAGTTGAACGCACCCTTGCCATTCAACGACCTGTTAAATAAAAAATTTAATAAGTCCTGGAGAACGAGTGCTACTTTCTGTAACAACAGAATGGAGGAAAGATGGCAAATAAACGATCAGCGAAAAGAGGTCTTGTACAGAGCATCGCGAAAGGGAGTCCCTGAGAAGGGACTGAGTGGCACAGGAACACGCTCGTTTCTCTTTTATCATCGCGCAAACTGATAGTAGGAAAGAGGAATAAGGGAGGAAACGGTACAATATTGTGCAGCAATAAGTGAAATCGCTGCAGAGGAATGCTTAGCTAATATAACATCCCTCTGGGCATTTTTTCGACTTTGATTCGGACATTCCTACTTTTAAACCGATTTTTAAATTGGAAATGTGACGAAATTTGAGGTATAAATTGAACGAGATTAAACTGTTGATTTCGCGATGAATCAAATTATTCAATCAATTATTTTATCTGGAACTATATCTATTTGTATAGTATTTGCATTGCACCGTGCGAGTTGTGTATTTACAGTTTCGACGACAATTACATTTATGTATTGCTTACATTTTCAGTTAACGATCGATGTTCTCTTGTTTATGTTTGCGGACTCTGAAATCAAACAAAACGTTTTACCAGCTTTCTAAACGATTTGGCACGTTACAAAATTTTTCGATCGTTGGATGGAATTTATAAAAGAATATTTCCAGAATTATTCTTTTATCATCTATATTTTTCCATTCTTCGTGCAAAGGGAGATTCTTTTTTTTTTTTTCTTCTATTTTTCACGTATTTTATTTTTGGTTTTGTTGTTTTTATCCGTGGTATGTTTCACAGGTAAATAAAAATCTCGAAATTTTTTTGTGGAATTCGTTTAAACATTTCCACTATATGTGGAAGATAGGCAGTAAAATATAACAGTTATGGTGAGACAGTAGAATCCATGCTGGGACAAGTAGAGTAAGGCAACGTTGATCGGGCAAAGTGAAATAAAGTAATCCTGATTGGACAACTGAAACAGTTATGATCAAATTAGATAAATAAAATAGAACACCAGTGAAAAAAGAACCAGAGGATGGATTGGAACAAATTAAATGTTTATTTTAAAATATTATCGTTGTTTTAAAACTGACAAAACATAAGTAATTCATGATTTCTTGTATTCTTACACGAATACAAAAAATTATCTACTATATTTATTTAAATACTTCAAGAACGATAGAGAAAACTTTGATATATAAATAATTTGAAAAAATTTACGAAACAGATGAATCACATACATTACACGTGTTAGAAAAATATTACTTTCCCCCCCCAAAATGTACAATTTGATATCACAAACTGCACACGGCGGAAAAATAAGAAATATATGAATTACCCGTTTCTAAAGTACCATAAGATAGTGTGAACGGAAGATAGATCCGTTCCATATATCCTTCCAACGTTTCCAAATTGTCCGGGTATAGAAGTCGCCCTAGCGTAGTCCATTTGTGTTATATCGAGGCATTAATATCAAGCTTATATAAGGTGCAAAAAAAAGCGTGACTGGTGGTGGCATTTTTCGTCCACTTTTTTCTCGCGAAAAGGAAAAATCGAGGAGCATGACGGATTGTTTGTCCAGGCTCGAACCACTAATATGCAAACGAGGTTTCTTCGTCGCGTTGAAGAAGTTCAATTACGAGCGTCCTTTGAAGAATGGTGGACAGCCTCGATAGATAAACTTGTGACAAGGTAGAATTAATTCCAAGAGCTTCTTTCTCTCGAAACTTCAACCAATTCTGAAGCAAATTCGAAGAGATTTGTCGATAAAAGACACTTCTTTCTTTCTATTTCAATAATTCTAATAATTTTATCATTAAGTTATATTTATTGATGTTGATAATTTTCTTTATTTTGAATTCCCAAGTTTAAGATAATTAATTAAAGGCAAAGATATTTTAAAAATCATTATATCATTCTCTTATTATTTTCTTAAGAAACTTTCGATCGAGATAAAACGAGGATGTAAATTGTATAGCATAAATCACAACAGTTTCGAGAACCGTGAAATCCTAAAGGAAAAATGTGCACGTTTGTTATCGAAAATTCGACGATCCTCACGGCTGACAGAGCAAACAAGATTTTACGTTCCAACGCATCCTTGTCCGCCATATTTGTTGAGCTTAAACGCCCACCGATCTTCCTGTGTATTATTGAAAAATTATTCAAATAAATTCAATCCGTCGATACTTCCTGTATCACGTAGTTGAACAAAATACGATATTACTGGCGACAAGATCATTTTGTTACGAATCACTTTTACGATCGATTATTCCGCAAGTACATTTTCTATTCGAATAATTTATGAATATCAAAAAGAGAGATGAGAATAAATAGAAGATTTGAATTTGAGATTACAAAGTGCGAGCGAAACTTTTTTTTTTTTTTCAAATTAAGTTAACATCTGTAAACTTCTAAATTTTCAAGATATTACATCACCAGATACACGAAAGGGTTACAATACACCTTTCATTATTTTTTCATTTATTCAATAATTCATCGTCTATCCATGCACCCATTATTCCTAATCGTTAAATAAGTTATCTGAAAAATAGTGGAGATAATGGCGAAGCAACAAGCCCCCGCCGTAATTTAGGCATCGATTTACAATCCTGTTCCGGGTTAACAAGGCAGAATGCCGCGGGCTCGCGACACTTGCAGACATCCTCTGTATAATTAAACGTGGGCTGTAATTGCGATCACCGGTTAACGACATTCCTGGCTCGCTCTCCTGTCATTACGCTCATTTTTCCACTACCAGCAAGGTTTTCGAGTTTTATCACGTTGGAATTGTCCGCAGAATTTTCTCTCCACACCCTCGATACATTTCGTTTGCCCGATTATCGAATTATTCTCTTGTGATCAGATATATTTGTTGTTTCGTTTCGTCGAAATTGACTACATGTGTAGAATTATATTTGCGTTTGGGAAATTTAACAAAGTTGTAATTTGGGTAATTTATAAGGTCGCGTCATATCTGTCCTTTAATCCTTGTTAATTGAATTTTATTTAATGAAATTTTAACCGATGATATTAAATATCTGTAAAATTAGATAGTAGAAATGCATTGGTTTTTAATTGGTGTTGATACGTATGGAATTTTGATTATTTTGAAATTGTTTTGAAATGTTTATCTAAAGTTTTGTTCATTTTGAAATAATTGCATTATCATAGTAATTTTAATTATTATGTTTGAGGTAATAAAATTTCATTTAAGAATGGTAACGTAAAAATAGAATTTATCGTTGTATCGGGAATTTTCTTCTTTAATTGTTTTATGATATTTCCATAGAAATATAAAATTTCTTTTAGATTTGTGATTAAAGTGCATTTATAATGGTGTTTAATTGATCTGAACGTAAACGTAGGAATTTCATTTTAATTTGGAATTAAAAAAAAAAAAAGTTCCTCGTAAAATGAAAGATAAAAATTTTAATTATTCGAGTAATTCGATGAACACATTATTCTAAAAATAAAATAAAACATTTTTTATGAAAAGAAGATAGCAATTTTAATACCATAGGATGAAAATTATACCTACATCATTTCAATTTGCTTAACGATAATTTAAATTCAAATATTTTGCTAATATAGGAAGAAAAATGTGTTATTTATCGATTTAAATTATCTCTGAGATTTACGAAATTTAAATTCATACATTTTTTTATGAATTGATTTTAAATTAATTACGAAAATGTGAAATTCCTTATTAGTATACAGCATCACGTGACTATGTAACTAATAAATATCTAATATTTATTTATCTATTTATGCATTTGATTTATTATTTATAACGTTTACTTTTTTATTTTTTAAATATTTGAATTATTTTTCTATAAATATTATTTTGATAATTTTTGACAAAGTTATGATTTGAAATTAGTCGATCATTAATAGTGTTAATAATTTCAAAAACAACTCCAATCTGAAATCCAATTTTTTTATACAAGCATATGCAAAATCCACGAATATTAAATTATATAAAATTTTGTTCGTTATAAAAAAAATTGCAAAATCTCAAACACAAATTACAAGTTAAATTGAAATAATTAAGTAATTCGAACGAATTGTTACGTTAAGAAAAAGTTTGATTTAATCTTTTTTGTAATTTTATTCTTGCGTTTCTAACAAGTAAAATACGCGATGCTAAATTATTCACAATTTCGTTCGTTATAAAAGATTTCAAGAAACGTGAAATATTTCCATTTTATATTCATTTGTAGCAAATGTAATTTTATAATTAACTTAAACAATATTAAAATTAACTTCGTTAAACCTAGAAAATAATTATCTACTTACGATTCACACTCATATTCAATCACTATGAACCTTCTCAAAATTTTCTTCAAATTATTATAATTCCGTTAAATCCGAACGATCATCTTTAAAATCAAAAATTGTCGAAGAAAAATAATTTTCCCTTCATCTTTCTTCATAAGAAAATTTTCTTCCTGCAATAAAGAATTATTTTATTTTATTCGCGAATAAAAAATCTCGAACAACTTCGAAATAATCATAATTCCCATAATTTTCTCACTCACACGGATATTACTGTCGTGCAAAACACTCGAATATATAGTAAATTATTCTCAACGAATCTCGGCCATCTCTCGATGCTCACACCGTTGCCCACAGCCAATAAAGCTATCGGTTTATTTCCTCCTCTACGGTCGTTCAGGTAGATTGAAGAGTAATTGAACTTGACTCTACGTCTTTGTCCCTGTCCTTGAATCTTACGGGCAAGTTCGTGGCAGGGGCGTGCAATAAATCACGGTTGCTTGATAGGGTGCAACCACATCGTGAATTAACCACGAGAGACTTCAGTTTCCCTTGCATTTTGCACCGAGCGCGCCATTGCGGATCGAACGAGAGAGTCGTTCCACGTGGGAATTCTATCGTTCGATGAAAATTCAATGTGGATCGTTGCGGTGATTGCACGCATGTCCATGGACACGTGGAAAATTCCACGAAGCGGTTTTCATCACTTCGGATCGGAAATTTTATTAGAATCGTTCGTCGTTAATCCGCGTGTGAATTTTTTAATTTCCATGAAATCGAATTTTCCATTTCTGTTTGAATCGGGTTTGAAACAGAAATTGAATAACGAGGAACGAGAGACATGATAATATTCTGAAGGTGATTGGTTTTAATAATCTCGAGAAATAAATGAATTGGACGATTATAGTTAATTTTTTAGTAATCACTCACTTTTTTATATCTCTGTCTTGGTTCTTTCTCTTCTAAGAAAAAAACATAAATCTAAAAATAATCATTAATCTTCTACTTTAATAATGTTACGTGTAATATCTTTATTTTTATCTTCTTCAATACGAGTAAGTAAATAAATGTTGCAATTACATTTAATCTTTCAGTTCTATATATTCACTATATATATATATATATAAGAAACTACACAAACTCAATTCCTATCAAAGATCCCAAACGTTCATTTTAGTATCCTCGCACAGAGAAGGCTATACAAACTCAATTTCCGTCAAAGATCTTACCTTATAATTAATGCCTTCTCAGATAAAGTCGTTTCTCACCAAAGATCTTTTAAACGTTTCTTTACAATAATAACTATAATTATATTCCATTCAACAAAGATAAATTTTATCCTAAATAATTTTAATTTTACTACAAATTCTTTAAATAATTCAACACACTTATATAACTTTTCCAAGAATCATTTTCACTTATCCATTTCAAGAAAATTTTCTACATTACGAATTATCTGAATAATCAAAAATTTAAAAACAATTCTATTTTCTTACAATAAATTTCGCTATACATATTTAAAGAATAAAAGAATCCAAGATATTTTATTCCATTCACCTTTTCGTTCATCCCCATACTCTTCATCCTCTCCGCCACGATCATTCAAATTCAACTTCGCGCACGTTTTCCATCAAACGAACGAATCACGACGACTTTTCTTTGTCCATTGACGATTCGAGACATCGCTTCGGACAATCGTTCGCTGCTTGACCTATTTCCATCGAGCTTCCAGACATGCAAACCTTAAGGGTGAGACTCTCTTTAATGGATGGAGGGAAAACCCGTGAGAATTTTTACATCCCGTCTTTCCTTCCTTTTTTCGTTGTCCACTTGTATCCATATCGATTTACAATGATCCCTCGAAGAGTCAAAATATTCGCGAGGCATTGCTTTCGCTTTCCACGACGAGCTCTTTCTCCTTCGAAACGTACACTCCAAATGCGTATCGTATACTGAATCGTTCGACTTTCAAAACGGTGGATATAAACGAAAACAAATTCAAAGTTAAATTTCTCCCTCCTCGAATATTTCTGTTTTCCTTTAATTTAGTGTGTTTCTTATTTGTTTCTTTTCATTTTTTTTATGTTTTTGTCTTTTCTTTCGATAGCGTTACAATAAATACATATGTATGAGAGATATGTAACTCGAGAAACGTTCTCTCCTGATATATTTCTTAACTCTTTTCGATATTGCACTGCCATGATATGGAAAAGGAATGCGTGCAAGTTTTTGTTCGGTGTGATACAAAGGAAACTGCTCCTGAGAGAAATATTTTTATACTTTATGTTCATGGGAGGAATGAAAACAACGTATTGTATTTATTTGTAAAAAGAAATTTCATTTACTTGTAAATAGCATATAAATTTGTTACGTAATTTGTAATGTTTTTCTTTAATAATAATAATTTTTCTTAAATAATAAATAAATTAAGATTTTCATCAAAATCTTTTGTTGAATTTTAATTTCAATTCACAAATATAAATCAATGTTATAAGGCAAAGGATTGAATATGTTCACTTGATTAATGTATTAATTTTATGAAAGATATAATTGGATAATTTAAGTTTTTTTACATAAAAAATTTGAATATAATATTGAATGAAAATATATGAATAATATTTTACAAAATTTAACAAAATGTCACATAAAAAAACTATCCATAAAAAGAAATTTTAATGATAGTATAATTATTACATTAATATAATTTATAAATGATAGTTTTCCACAAAATTCAGGAAATAAAATCTTCTCTTAAAGTTTCTTTAAAACTTTGTTATTCTCACGTCTATTTAATAGTAATAAAATTCGCATATTGCCATAAATCTCTAACTTCTTTACGACATATAATATACCTCAATTTCTTTCTAATTTTACACATTCGATCCATTGCTTTCCAATTCCTTTTACACTTCCATCACCTAATACTGGAATAATCAAGAGCTTCTCTACGATAATTCGCACAAATCTTACGATCATTCACGGATCTAGGATTTCCTTAATTATAACTCATCATTCGATCTAACAATCCAAGAAGGAGTCCAAGAAGAAATTTTCGATTCGTTAAAAACTTTCCAAGAATGAAATCTCAAAAATTTTTCAACGATAATTTTCACAAATCATGTATAAGTATTCTTTAAAGAAAAAAATCCCACAAATTTCAAATATGTATAATTCATTAAATATGAATCTTGAGATAATAAATCTGAATCCGATATATTCAAAAAAAAGTCGAATAAAAACAGATATATTATTCTCTAATAGAAATTTTTTCGATTACCATTACTCAATACAATAAAACGTATAAATAGCTACATTATCCTTTAACAGTATCTCTTTCAAGAAAGCGAATGAAAGCATCGTTTTTTTGCAGAGCAATTTTCATCGACCATTGATGGCTCGAACGAGACGGAAATCCGCGATAATCTCAACGGCGAAGCCATTCACGGAGCCGTGACACTTCCTGGTGGCCAGTCGAGCGCGAGCAATGTTGAATTCGCTGGCTGCTTCCGCAAAGTCAAGGCCAAAACTCGAAAAGTTCCTCGTTCACGTGACGGTTGATCGATACTGGCTCTGACCAAAAGTGGCAAACGAGCCGAATGCTTCAACAACGATCAAACTGCGATAAATCGAGGCTCTGCTTCCGTGAAAAGGGACCGACACGGAAGCGAGTGCGCACACGAGACGAGATATACGTATAATATCGAAATATGTAATATAATATGGCGAAAAGTTATGCGACACTTGTTAGAGACGAGATTCGACTGCTTGGAAAAGTTTGACAGGGAACGGTTGTGCGAGAGAGCTTGGGTGCAACGAGGAGAGACGTTGCGAGACACAGAGATGAGTGCGTCAAGATGTACGAAAGTTGCATGCTGGTGATGACGAGGTCGCGATAGGGATGCTGAGGAATCGTCTTATTACAGGATTTAATGCCGTTTATATCAAGGGTAAGGAGGATCGTAGGGATTTTGGGAGTTGGAAATTTAATGAAGATAAGAAATTGTAGTAATGGAATTGTTTGAATTTTAGAATCTGAATGATATTAATTTTGGTTTTTTTAGACGGATATTTATACGTACGTATTTCTTTTTTATTTTTTTTTGAGAAAATTCTTGGAAAATTTCAGATTACAAAGATCGATTTTTATTAGTTATCGAGTTCAATGTTAATAAAGAAAACTGTTTACAGTCTCTAATTTCGCAACAGGGAAACCATACCAGACAATATGAGAGAATTGCGAAAGTCTCTAAATGACTATAAAGTTACGCAAATCGGTCAATGTTTTTATGGTTGCGAAATTCGACTAGAATAAGAAAATTAAAGTTGAATGACAGAATACTTGTGAAAGCTACATTTTGAACTATATAAGAATCATGAAATTCGATAAATGTAAATTTATGCATAGTGTGCAACAACAGATAATTCATATTGAAAATTTCTCAAACAAATCGTCGTAAGTAAGAGTTATCTTATAAAGTCATTATATGGAAGGAAATTCAGGAAATGAACTCTATGACACGACACATATGATTATTAAATATTTTTAATCTCGAATGAAACGATGACTTCTCTAATCCTCGAATAATCTTTCGATTTATTAATATCTTCACGAACTCAATGATCTTTATTCAAATGGTTTTGTTTTCTGGTAAACAACTGGAACTAGCAGTCATAGTGACTTCCTGTTATCTTCAAATTATCTCTCATGTCAATGACATAATCTCGATAACCCCATTAAGTAATACTGGCCTCTCTATATCACAATTTCGATGATCTGGTCAATTAACTATAATATCATCAACTTATTATTCATAAAACTAATGCTGAATTTCTTAAATTCCATTTATATTTTTGTCCACTTACTTTTAACGAAATAACAATGAAATATATTTTAAACGAAACTATTAATGTTTCTTTCTTTCTTTTTCTTTTTTTTTTTTTTTTTTTTTTTTTTTTCTATTATAAAAGGCGAATTTTCACGAGATAAGTAAATAATCTCACTTCGAACGAAGCTTCAAACATTTGACACAATTTTATCGATGCAATGTTGGCAACGTGATGTTGCTACTAATCGATGACAAGCAGAAAACGAGTGTTTTTTGACGCCAGCCACTGTTTCAGCGAGAAGCTACCCATGGGACGATGAAAGAAGTGCCATTACCGAATAATGGCACCGTCGAAGAAGAAGGCAAACGGCCAACCACAGAAAAATGGAAGAATAAAGCCACGTTATCGACAACATCATAAACGGCCAAACATTTCACGCCGATTGCGTATTTATAAACCTAGCGTACGAGAAATAGTCTATGCATTGATGAATAAACATCAACATAACCAAGGTACTTTGTTATGCACAATGAATTGTTATACTTAAGGCACTTAGATAAGATTGTCATTATCATATATACACATAGATTTTAATTATCATAGAATTATAATTACATCTATTATATTTTAATCTTTTGTCATTTTAATAATTTTCTTTTTTCATTATTTCATGATTTCTAATTATTGATCATAAAAACTTTATCAAGTGAAACAAAAGTGTTAGAAGAGTAAATTTAAAAAAAATAAAAGATTTATTTAACTGTTATTATAACTTATTATATAAATTCTATTGAAATACGAATTTTTATAAGACAAATACAATATTTTATTTATTTATTTTTTCTTTCGTTCAACACAATATTTTCAGATGCAACGTTCCGTTTAAAATTATTAAAAGATTCCTTCTAATAGCAAGAAAGGCTCGACAATCCTTTTCGATCTCAAGCCTAGTTGCTCCGTCACCCGTTCGATAAAAGCGAAATCGCCACAGTTCCATACCGGGAGCCTGAGAGAAAAGGGACGAGAGAGATAAAACGATATTTCACGTAACGTTTCATCCTTGGAACACGATCGCGATCATGTACGTTTCAGAAAGAAAGCGAAGCAGAGCCGTGCGAGACGACAGATATCGCGGGAAAATGCGGAAATACAGGAATGCTCGAGAGTCCTCGTGCGACAGTCCTTCGTTTTGTAGCGATAGCTCGTCCATCGAAGGGTCCGGGTACACAAAATCCGTGGCAACGTCCGTGGAGAACTTGTCGAGCGTGATGGAGGCCGCAAATAGCTCGGAGACCAGCAGCACCGAGGACAGCAGCGCATCGAATATCTCGGTGAGGCCGATTGCGCTCGCCAAGGCGATCAATAACACTAGAGCGTTACTCAAGAAGAAATCTCTCGTCCAGGTCATCAACAACTACATCAAGGCTGGGATCGAGGAAGGTATCGCGTGACACCTTTCCTTTTTTTAATCTTGCTATTAGTTGAGGGCGTGGTAATTCTTTTCTTTTTCTTTTTTTGATGCTGCGGAGAAAATAGATTTCGTATATTGATTTTTTACTTTTATGGAGCTGGATGAGGATTTTTGTCTTCGATTAAAAAATATTCAAGTAAAAATCATTCTTAAAATTTTTTCCTATATAGTTAGACAAAGAATAAATTTTACTATCATATCATCTATTGTATTATTATCTTTTGCATACGCAGTGAAAACGACAAGCTTTTCTATATCTAGGAAAACGACAAGCTAAAAAGTACCTTCGCAAGGCGCTTTCTTTCGGCGTGAAATCCGGTTACTTGATTCCGACCGATAGCGAAGGACAAATGATACGAGTAGCGCCAACATTGATGGACACAAAGAGGAGTAACGCGGAGTCACGCAAGAGGCGAAGAAGGGCCCGAAGGGGCGAGGATGACCCGTTAATCGGGGTCAGCAAGGATCGTCCGTCTACCCCTCCTTGGAAGATAAAAAATCGCGAGGATACGCCGAAATCGCAAGAAAATCCTTTACAGAAAAGGGGGAAATCATCGAGCTTGAAGAAGAGTCCGATTCGAAGAAAGAAAATCGAAAAACGTTCTTCGCGACGAAGCAGAAGGAAGATGACCAGGAGAAAGTTAGTTATTCAAATTATTGACACGTGTTTCTCATTGTTTTAACTTTGCAAGGAATTTGTTCTTAATTTTCTTTTCATAACAGAATTAATTTTGTCAATTAATTTATCGTCGAATTCTGTTTACTTGTCGAGGGAGAAATTGTTTAGAAAAATCAAAGTCAAATACGATTTTTTCGTTTGAAAAATTTTATTGATATTGATAATTCATACGAATTTATTATATAAATTATCAATAATTATTATTGATAAAAATTAATTTTACACGAAACGTTGTAATTTTATCTGACATATTTTATAGTACGAATTTCTCTTCACGCGAGCATGGATATTTATGAGAAATAACATCGTGTTGTTATATTTCAGAATGAATCTATTAATCGACAATTTTTGTAACGATAAAAGCGAGGAGAATTTAAAAAATCGAAGGAGAAAGCGAAGCTTGAGCAGACATGACGGCGAGAACAGACGAAATCAAAGGAGTCGACGGTCGAAGTCAGTTTGTACAAAGGAGAAAAACGAAAATTCAAGGAAAAATAGTAAAAGTTTCAGCGACAACGAAGATATCTCGATCATCAACAGTCACGAAGTCAACGAAAGAATGTCGATAGGACGGTTAAAATCGATCAGCAAAGAGAATATTTCACGAAATTGCAACGTTCCATCCGAAAATCCTGTGGAAGAGATCGAAGAAAAGATAGAAACTTTGAACGAGGAAAGAAACGAAAACGACATGATATAGTATCTGAATTAAATTATATACCGAATAGAGTTATATTACGAAGAATGAAAGAAGGAAGATTGTAAGGAATTTTTGAAGAGAAAATTTTTGTAAACTAAATTTATGAAAAGAAATTTTGATAACGTTTTATCCAATTAGGAATGTATTATTATTATTATTGTTGTTGTTGTTTTGTGTAACTTTTTTGATTCTTTATTTTTGTAATCAAATTTAGAATAAAAAAATTTTTTTTCCACCGTGAAACGTAATAAACATTCGATTATGCATTAATATCGATCATTTTCAGAATCATTAATTAATAGAATAATGGATTGAAGTAATAATTCTGTAATTCTAAAATGAAAACTGTAGATTATCCCATTGTGTGAACAAATTTACTCTCTTTTAAGAGAGCTAAAAGTTTATTTTCTACTTTGAGCAAAAATTTAAATTATATTTCTTTTTTCAATCTTAACTTCTTGTAACATTTAAACATTTTTCATGTAAAATTTCATCACGATTTTAAAGGCGAATAAAGGTTTCATTATTTAAAATGAACAAAAATTTAAATATCAAATTCAGTTTCAAATATCAGATTTCATGATAATTGAAAACACATATGAAGGAAGAAAAATATTATTATTCCAAACGATATTTCATTAATTATAACATACAAGAAAGAAACTCCAATTAACCTATTTGATCTTCAACTGTGAAACAAAGAAAATATAGTGATACATCAAAAACAAGAATCAATAATAACTTGTTTAATCCAATTAAAAACTATCATTTTCCATCCAGGAAATCTTGACAATTGGACAGAATAAATAATTATGCATGAGATTGACGTCTATTCGGTGTCAATAAATACAAATCGATATCGTTCTCTCTCAACCCACACACATCTTCTCGGTCGTTCGCGCCACTGTCGACGACACGATGTGTTTGACCTCGTCACTCTTCACGGGTTACACGGCCTCGAGATGATCGCCTATTGGTCGATCCACGAGTCGGAAGTCGCCATGATTCTTCCAATGTGTACGTCCATGCACGAAAAGTGGATAGAAGGGTCGACAGACGGAAAATAGTTCAGATGTTATAAAGTGCTGGTTCATAATGGGACCTTAATGCGAAATTGGAGAGTACTTTCTTCCGCGTAGATATAATAATATATCGAAAATTAAACAAGGAATTAAAAAAGAAAATGCACGACGAATTTTTCTCGATCGTATTTGGAAAGTGACGAATTAAAAAAATTACTCGTGGCGGTATATTTTTATTTAATCTGATTATTCGATTTGCACAACTTTTAATGTTCTTGCAATTTGTTAAAAAAATTGCAGATATCAATAATTTTAAATCAAGAAAGTTCTAGAAACAATATCTGGAATTATCTTTTTCTCGTTAAAAAAAATATAAGTTTAATAAAGTATTGTTTCGATTCAAGTGGTAAGCGTCTTCGACAACTTCACGTGATGAATCACCCCGCCTACTTTACGAAACGCGCGCGAAGATAACGAAAAACGAGCAAATGCAGCGTGACAGGCGGAATTTTGCTGTTTTATGAAAAAGAAGAGAATAGGCGAAAGGAACCGACGGATTGGCACCGCCGGGCGTGCCTCTCTTCCTTTCATCAATGTTCTGGAAATTCACAAACAAAATTTCGCGCCACGACCAACGAAAATCTTAGAAAAAATTTGGGTCGTTTGACGAAATCCTTTTGGAAAAACGGCGGCTCGTAAGCAGGTGCGGACGTCCCGAAAAATTTCGGATTCAACAGTAAGCACAAAATGGCCCCCATAAAGAGACGTCCTCATGCGCGAAGCCACCACAAGATGAGTGAGTGATCATCTTGAAAAAAAAAGACTTGATAGGAAAAGTGATTAAATTCCCTCTCTTGTATTCGCGATATTCGAACTCACGTTGTGTCAATAAGTATATTCTTTGATTTTTGTTATTTTCGCGAGGGCCAACTTATATTAAAATGTTCTGCTCGATGAAAAATTTTCAATCCTCTTCGATTTTTTGCGAAAAAAACAAGCAACCGAATTGAAATATTATTTAAAAAAAAAATTCCAACGCATTTGTTAAAACTAATTGTTTAATTATTCATATTTTGACAATTCGATCGATCGATCGAAGTGTAGAATTATTTGATATCCAAATAAATACGTTCTTTTTTTTTAGCGTCTTATATAATATCGAAATGATATACTCACCTCGATCTATTACGAGATTAAATATTAGAAATGTTCCGATTAAATAGTTTTATTAATATCGACAAGGTTAAAATACTTACCCGTTTTTTCTCTCCAAAATAGAAACACGATGGCTACCAACCAGGCTTTGACACGACCGACTATTTTCTTATTACCAATAATTGTCACGAAAGCAATCGTTCATAGTTCCAACGTTTATTTTTGTTTACTACATTAGACGCCCGTTCGTTCAAATACTTTATATTCCTTGTGTCATTTTTCAATCGATTCGAACGATCCGGAGTACCAAGCTTCGCTCAATACTTGCAACGCGGAACATCATTTCCCTCGTGAATTCCATTACGTACCTCTACCACCGTGGTATTTCTCAATTGTTAAAAAGAACGAAAAAACGACTTCTAATCTTTCGTTTCATTTCCAGATTACATTTCAAGCCGAATCTTTCTCGACTTCGCGATAAACTTTTATGATTCGAGATTTTGAAGAAATGGATATTTTTTAAATATAGGACAATTCATATAAAATATATATATATATATTTCATCGTTAAATTTTGCAAATCTGATTTTCAGGATTTATGCTTGAATTTTAAAAATTAAAAATTTCAAAACTTCGAATCCTCGTTATTCAGAATTTCCCATAATCGGAATTTTCCTATTCTCAAACGCCCGTTTGCGTGTTTGAAATTGAAAACATTATCTTCTCAACTTTAGAATCACTACTCTCCAATATCCATCCTCCAACTTTTACGAACTCCGAACGTCAAATTTCTCAGATCACTCTCACCCTCTCGAGAATGTCGATAAATGCTCGCATGCCAACAAGAAATGCCAATAAAATCTCGCCGCGTCTCTCCCACTTGGTCAAACAGACTAACTATCCTCGAACACTTTTTTTTCTCCCAATGAATTTTTCATTAGTTCGAATTGGAACGTGACGACGATTCACGCCTGTAACAAATCCTGCTTCGTCGTTCGCGCGAAAAAACTTTGTCGAAACGAAGTTCACCCCCTTTCCAATCGGATGATCTGGGTGATTGTTCACGTTTCAGAGCTGCGACGCAAACCCAACATCTCAAAGCTTGTGTACAAATTTCTCAGCCTCGAGAGGGGTAGAGGGCAGCAGATCGGCGAGACGTTGCAGAATTACATCGGCCCGAAGTGTTCGATCTGTAAACGATTTAAACGCCGTGAAGAAGCTTCGAATTCTCAGGATTCTCAGCCTGGCGGCAATATGGCCAACAAAAGAAAAGAGTCGGCGAGGAATTCCAAGATTCACCGTGTGAAACGGCGGCAAACCTCCAGGGACCAAACTCTCTCGTCCTGCATGCACAAGGGCAGCGGAGGGGAGGGTAAGAGGAAATGAAAGTAAGAAAATTTTGTCCGAGTGATGATACACTGTTCGAAAAACGGATTGAGAGATTGTTCGATGTTTCTTGGTTATGATAGAATTATCACGGAATATGTAATTTTTTTTTTTCTTTTTTTCTTTTAACGTTCCGATGCTTTGAGTTTCTTTTGTGATTTTCTTTTTTTATAATTCTTTGATACGTGAGTATGATTAC